GGTTACATACAATTTTAGACTGATGTGGGCCAAAGCCTAGCATAGCCTGTAATGTTATTATGACGTATACATTTCATGAGTGAGCTTGACTTTATGCATGTTTTCATGAGCCCTGACTAAACTTCAAGAGATGAGGTTTGAGGTTGCCATTGTATTCAAGATGGTGTGTCAACATGGCAACTTCCACAAACCAGTTTATGAGACCCAAGTAGCTTCTTGGAAGATGTAATTACACACTAGTCAATGTATATTTATGAGTAAAATATTCTTTTTTTCTATTACATAAACTAAAAAAAATAACTGACTACACCTTTAAATGTGTTTTTAAGTCTTGTACTTAAATTAAAGGCTCACAAATGTTGGAAAAATTAATGCAAATCCAGAAAGTACTCATTTTGAATCTATGTACTGCGATGGTCTGTAAATATAAAAATTCTGCACAACTACATTAAATATACTAAAGATATAGTAGTATATTTATACTAGTATAGTATAATCAAAAAGAAGTTGGACATGCATGCTTAAACAAAAGAAACATATAATTTGGTGGACCATGCAAAGAAACAGACATGTGACTGTTTTTACCAACATTTTTTATTATTTCAAATGTAATCAAAACGACAGTAGTTACAGAAATTACAGACAGCTATGATACTTTATGATTTCGAGTCTTATTGTTTGCTATGAAAGTGTCATGATAAGATAAAACCAACATCACAGCTGGAAGAAAACTCCAATTCTTGTATCTGTATGTTGAGCTCCTGGAACATTTGCTGAATCTGTGACTCAGCATCATTTAATCCAACTCATAAGAGAGCAAAGAAAACAGCAGTAACCAATCCCAATGACACAACTGTGCTGCGTTTGTTAAAAGTGGGAGTGAAAGCCATTAGTCAGGTCCAGTGAAGCAAGTGAAGACTTTGCTGCTAGAAAGCCCAGTTTCCACTATCAGAGCATTGCCAGAGCGTGATAATTATTGTACTTGTGTGGCAAATGTCTCATAATATTTCACAATCTCATTATTTTACAACACATAGTAGTTGAAATAAGCCGAGGCTGCCTCATTTTAGGACGATGGACTACAGCTTACACCTGTGCCTGCACACATCTTCTCTCATGACATTGTTTTTTTACCGATCTGACTTGTGTACAATAGTGCTCCTCAAAATTTAATAACTGTAAGCCTCTAGGATAACATTTTTTCCATCTGGCAATGCTGCGCGACTGAAGTGTTTTCAGCTTTTGTAAATGTGTTCAGTGCAAACAAATGTGACCTCCGGCCACGTTCTCGGACTGCATTTTCACAGCAGTCGTAAAAACACTTGCAGTTTCAGGTGGCACTGTATGATAAGTGGATGATTTGATCACTTTCAAAGAGCATTTCTCCACAGGGATCGATCTACCGGTACTAAAAAACAAAAAATGGACCTGGAGGTGTGGAGAAGCCATTGGCTCACAATTGTTAGAGAAATACTGTTGTGATGCATGTCACGAACCACGACCCAGCTGCATAGCTCCACTGACTGAATGACTAGTGTATAGAGTGACAAAGCCTAACATGACTCAGAGCCGTAGACAATATAAAAGGCAGACATAGCTTCTAGCTCTGTAAAGTGACGCAGACTGTACCTTGAACCTATTTTTTTTTTTTTAAATGTCCTGCAAGTGGAGACTCCTCTGGTTATAAAGAAGTTTATAGTGAAACTACCCTCACCTCCCTTGCTTTGTGACCTCAGTATACAATTTACTTTCAGCTGCTCCCTTATTTACAAGGGGCCGCATGGCCATGTTTAAAGCTCTACACTAAGTAAATTAATGACTTTATTTGCTCAGTTGGTAGTTTCAGATAATAGGACATAAATTCCATATTGTAAATTATGATCATTTTAAACACAACAAGGAAGGATTATTTAGGATGTCTTCATTGGTTAACAACATAAGGACGTTCCCAGCTGTGGAATTTTTCAGCTTTTGTGAGTCCCGAATAAGGAGTTTGATAACAAGTGGCTAAATTTAGTAGTCATAAAGTTAAAGTCATGTGACCACGATGTAGTTCATATAGTTAAGATTTTATGCCTTGTGTGACTCTTCGAAAATCATATCTTTCTGAACACACTAAAGTAAAGTATTAAACAAGTGTTACTTCACACAAAACCCCAAGGACAAATCTGGGTGATGCTAATTTGGCAGTTTAAACTTTTCTTTGCTTGATAGTGAAAATGACTTTTAAAGTCTTTTAAGTTGAACTTCATCATCGGGCTCGAATTTGCTTGGCCTGATTTTAACAGTCGGAGTCTATTAATCAGAGCCGACGTTCACCTGACATCACTTAACACGGACAGTAGAGTTTTCTTATTTTTTACTTAAATGGGGCCAGAGTAACGCTGCATGATTTCTGCTCATGTGGCTTCGCATCAGCTTGATGAATTAGTCCATTGATTGTCTTGTCCAAACTACTTGGAGAAGAGATTTGCCTCCATGTGAGCGCGCGACTTGAACTGCCCACTCCGTACATGTGCTTGAAACTTGCTTGTAACTAAGACCTTAACTAAACGGAATAATTTAAAAAGATTTTTTAGGAAGTGATTCTGTTCACTTCGCTCACCTAGTGGGACTTGAATGTGTTCTTTCCAAGGACACAGGACAACGTGGTGGCAACTTCACCACCTGCGACTTTAGTATTGTTTAAAAAACCCAATACAACCAATTTCAGAATGACAGGAAAAACTTTGCTAATATAAGTTCAATGAATTAAAATATTCCCAACACACATGTTATAAAATATAAGCGAATGTATTGATTCGAAACAGGCCCCTATGCTTTCCGTGTAGATTAACATGTACTTTAACCAAACAGGCAAAGTACTGGTTCCTCTAAAATGAACAAAGCAACTAAAACCCAAAGGTTGGTTGCTTAAATGCGCTTACTACTGTTGTAGTTGTATTTTTAGTTGTGTACCTGCTTACACGTTGTGACTATGCTGGTACTAGCAGACTGCCTTGTTTGTTTGAAGTGAGTGAATGTATAACACTATCTCAGGTATCACTGTGCTGACTGGAGTTGTTGATATATATCGATATCGAGCCTAAACTCTTCTTCCAGGACTCGTTTGTTAGCTGATGATGCAAACTTGAAATTAGTAGATTAGTTAGATAGGCATACTGTTAATTTCTAATGACTGACATTTTACCTCTTGTAATTCTGGTTATTCATAGAAAGGCTACTAAGAGACACTGGCAGTAGAACTCTTTAAATGTATTGATAATGCAAAGCTTAAGCTTTACTGTGCCTGGAATTGTAAAAAGTTACTGGACAGTCGTTGATGGTGGGAAGGATTTAGCAAATGCTAATCAGGGATGTCTAATTTTTATGACATCAAAAATGCTTGCACAGTGTCACTTCAATCCATAGACTGTACACAAAGGATGGATGTAGCTTCCTGGTTTGAAAAGTGACATCAGTTTGGAGCGAAAACCTGCAATTTCTTTAAATGTCCAGCAGGGGTCGACTCCTCTGCTTGGAAAACACAACCTTCATATTTAGAGGTCTACGGGAAACTCCCCTTGGGCGCCGTTGATCTCTTACCTCAAACTTTTTTCTGATCAGTTCATGGCCTTAGCTGATAGTTTCAAATCTTACTGAATATAACATAATTAAGTACTACTGCTGTTCCCTCATTTCCAAGGTAGATCCGCATATTTGATTTGGCCGGATGCTTGTCCTGATGCAACCTTCTCATTTATCCAGGTTTGGGGCCAACGCAAGGAATACAGTAGCTTTTAAACCCTGGAGGTGGATTTAATGGCTCCTCCCCTCTTGAACTGGCTAGTTTTTCATATATAAGGCTTGTTTAATCGCTACACCATGGAGCCACCTGAATATAGAATGACATAATATTTTTTTTAAATTGAGGGTTGAGGCATATGATCAGGAATTTGCTAACCAATGAGTGATGTCACAGTGGCTACTTCCATCTTTTGTGTACAGTCTGTGCTTTAACCAACTAAACCTGCATATCCTGCCTAATGAGAGGTATGGAGTCTGTGGGGGGAGGTTGAGGTAAATACATTGAAATTCTGATTAGTCTTTGGTCTCAATGTCAACAAAGTGTAAATAAAAAGAATTCAGATGATTGGAGTTCTTATGCGTTTTCATCATAGAAATTAACGGATGTAATATTGCACATTTTATTATTCAGTAAAACTCCAGGATTTTGAGCTCTAGTTTGTTTAAATGAGTCTACAATCATTGGTGTAAAACGTGATTTTCTCTTGAAATGAGTGAATTGTTGTGACAGCAATGACTAGAACAATATTCACATTTAAGTAAAAAAGTAGAGAAAAAAAGGCCACTCATAAAAAATAAGAAAAGAAGATTCTCATCACTGCTATACTGCAAATGTTTGCCATGAATTACCTGAATCTGCAAATGTTTTGGCCTTGGTATATACATTACTACGGTGACATGACAGCTATCAAATGTGGACACAGAACTGGTTACGCTTGGCAACAACTGGAAAATAAACCGACACTATAAAAATGAATCAAATCTCCAACCAGACCAGTGTGTTTTCTGGCTCACGCAAACTGTATCCAGATACTTCTAAGTAAGATCAATAAGAGCCAGCTCAAATATATGCACCCATATAGCAGGTGGATATCCAATCACTACTGTAAACTGTCTTCTGTATTCACACACGAGAATCACTTACACTCCAGAAAATATATTCACACTCACAAGCGCCTGTCTTGTAATTTTGCATTAGTACCACATGTCGAATGAGAAACAAAAAAGAAGTGCAAACTCTACTCAGGGACGAAATGGCACGGCAGTAAAGAAATCAATGCAAAAGGGCAGGATAGTGTCCATCACCCATTAAAAAAAACAACAACAAAAAAACCCCACCTTACACTTCATTTTCACAAAATGAAACCAGCCCCCAAAAATCACAAACTAATTCAACACCGATGCCGAATGTTCAGAGCTTTACTCCCAGCTGTGATCGATCGAGTTCAGCTCGCGTCATATCACGCAGTCACAGCCTCTCTGTGCAGAGTGGACTGTGGAAAAGTCATTTAAGCCTGCTAAGGTATTGAAAAGCAATACCGACGGTCTGTACAGATAAATGCGCCAACCCCTGTGAAAACATAGAGAAAGGAAAAGGAAAAGAAGGAAAAACCTGATGGATATACAAAGGCCTATAATGTGTAACCCCCATGGACAATAAAGTGGACATCTTCGTTCACACACTCTGTATTGATCCTGAAAATATATATTGTATAATTCACCCTGCTCCCCAACCCAACCAGACACACGGCTATCAGTCAAGCTGTACAGTCCCACCATGGCAACGCGATAGCAGTCGTAAAAAACTCTCAACGAATGCAGAGTCGATGACGTCTGCGCTGTTCCCTCCCTCTGCCCCCCGGCAGCTCAGCTCCTTGCTAACGGGAGCTGAACAGTGGGTATGTCTGGGGATAGTCTTCAGGGGTGTCTCACTTTCTCATGTCATCGGTCACTGTATCCAGTCTCATCTAGCGCTCAATGGGCCAATTGTACAGTCTTAACGAGTCATTGTGTACACTGAGCTCCTCCACCGATAAGCGCATCCTGGAGGTTCCAGGTGAGAAGTGCCCGTGGAGCAGGAGAGAGGAGGGCTAGCACAGGAGGGAGGCTGCGGAGGGGAGGGAGGGATGTGGATGCCCCCTCCTCCCTCAGCACTGCTCGGACTCGATGAAGCCCTCCTTCTCCTGGCCCACTGGCTCCACCTCCGCGTAGGCTGGGTGACCCGACCCCCTGCGAAACTTCATGGCAGGCCACCTGCTCGGACGTCTCTACAGGAGAGAAGTTAAAGATTGAAGGTCAGAGGCAACAAATGTGGTCAAGGTTAAAGGTTAGAGGTTGCTGTGTAGTGCATTCACCTAAAGCCTTTTTATTTCAGTGTCTAACTTGACATCTATACAGCGTATGGTGCCACACACCTAAGACCCCATTGGTTGCTAGCATATTTCCATGGTTACCTGTAGTTTGCATGAAAGATGGTGATTTGTCACCTAACAGTGGAGAGGCAGTAAAAATTGAAAGAGTGCAACACAAACCAGAAATGGATATTGTTTGCTTTCAAAGTAAAATCAACTTTAACTTTGAAAGAAAGTGTTTCCGGTTTGCTTACTGTTTGCAGCCATTAGGTGTCATACAAACCATGGCCATCAATGGTCATCTGCTTGGATCCGGTGCAGCACTATATACATCTTTGTGACTAATTTCACCTTTGTGAGTGCTGCTAGCCTCCAGAAACCACTCACCAACCAGTCACTGAATGCACACTTGCAAAATATATATTACACTTCACTTTCAAATGATGGCTGTCTGCATTTTTCGGAAATTTTATATATTCAGCTTATTGAGAACACCCATGAATGTTAACTGGTTTGATTCTCATAACCAGAATTAAAAACTTCTCCATAGCAAAAAAACAATAGCACAGGAAAATATAATAAGTAATTTATGTCAAGGTGTAAGACTGACAATCAGCTCTCTGACGTCAGAAACAGAAGAACTGGTGGTGCCGCTGCTCACCTCGATAAGGAAGAGGCTGGCTGCAGAGGTCGGGTGATGGTAGATGTAGACTGTGATCAGCACGCCTGCAATCATGATAAGCATCACCAGCAAGATGCCCAGGATCAAACCAGTGTGAAGAGGATGAGTGCCTTTCACCCGGTCTACAGCACTGTCAGCTGGCATCACTGGAAAACACAACAAGAAGCCATTATGTTGTCACACACGCATTCTGTTTGCTATTTCAGATTGTTAAGCACCGCTGGTTTAATTATCACTTTGTGCCACATGCTTAAAGCAAGTGTTATATTTTCTCTGGTTTTGTTGTCGACCAGCAGGGGACACTCATTATTCATCAATACGCTCCTTTCCTGCTTGTGCCGATATGTTTAAGTTCAGCTTTCACTCCGTGTCACCATACTAGGAAAAAGGCATTTCATTTTAAAACCTAACAAATGCACCGCTCTCATTCAGCCATGCACGTCTGACTCATTTTCAGTGACTCTAAAAGTATTTGTTGAATGGTTAAAGGACATTTCTTTCACTTGGAGAACAAATTCAAGGTTCACTGTGCAACTGGCTCTTTAGTAGTCTCTGGCACGATTGTTCTGAAGGCTTTTTAGGCATTCAAGAGCAGTTCTCTTCTCCCATAAGTGCGAGTAAGAGTTAATCCCACACCAAGGTTAGCAGTGTTTGGTCCTGATGGGAGGAAGAGGAAGGTCTATAGCTGCTGATAAAGTCCTATTATAGCCTTAAATCGTGGCACTGCAAACCGAAGAGGCTGTAAGTAGTGACTACATAAGAGATCGGTCCTTCAGCCGGCCTTGGAAGTCAGCGCTAGTCTGTAAAGCACTTCATCAGATTTATATTTGAACCTCAAAGTCGGCCCAGCAGGTGTTTTGAGAGTTCTTTTGAAGATGATCACAGTAGCCTGTAAACCTACTGGGAAATCTCAGTTTTCATCTTTGGGGGCACAATTTCACAAAACACACACACAGACAAAAATACAAAAACTAAGAGAACTTTCTCTGTGATTTGTCAGAGGGAAGAATACACATAATAATGACAGAAAACAGTGTCCCAGCAGAGAACATAACCCAGCAAGGATTCTGCCTTCATGTAGTACCTCATCTCACACAGATTTATAGCAGGTTCAGGCCACGTGTACTCACAAAGCTTTTTTTTTCTCCTTCTGTGCCACCCTGGCAACATCTCCGGGGCTCCTCCCCGGCTTTAATTAGCAGCAATACCCACCACTCGGCCTGTCAGCCAAGCAGCCTCTCCCCTGGCTCTCTGCCTCATTGATTTCCAGCGTACTCGGGTTGTAATCAAATCTGTGCAATGTGTGTGGGAATTCACTGTTAATGTGTTTGTCTGTGTAGACATTATGTGCCCACCATAACTGGGAATGAAAAATAAAAACAACAAACGGATAATTCGCTGTGCTGAAACAAAACAACTGATGGCCGGCAAAGCTGACAACCCAACTGTGTCCATCGTTCGTCAATCAGCTATGAAGGCAGTGAGTCGGTATTCTTGCTTGACATCCTTGCTTTTGCGCTTAATGTAGTAAACACATGATCTGAGTATGCTCTGCTTTTCTCAGAGACAAGACACTTTCCCATGCGTTTGTCCGCTGGAGCTGCACAGAGCCATCTCCTGCTTCAGCTGGAAGCCCAAACGATGCGACAAGCTGTTAGTTGGGGGTGTTGGAAGGTTAGCATGTGGCTAAGCAGAGATGTAGGCATAATGAGAAATCAAAAGCCTAGCAGCTAAAAACCAGCAGAATGCAAGCAGAGAGTGTCTGACCCCTGGATAGCACAGCGCTCTGGCACAGAGAGTTTCATCTGGACTCTTCTGAGTCTAAGCCAATAAGACAGCAGCGAAGGCCTCAAAATATCACATACACTGGATGATAGTGGTCTGGTGAAACAAGCAAAATTGTGCAGCCATGTGTCCAATAACAGATGTATTATGTGAAAAGTGGAGCTGGACAAGACTTTAAAGACTGTGGAAAAACTGTGGAAACATGCAAAAAAAACCCCACATTTATATGTTTTACTGAGGCAAAAACTGTAGTCATACTTAAACACATTAATAGTGCACAACTGACATAATCAAATCACCTAAAGCATTGCCTTGATGCATGCTCAATCATCCAGGTAAGTAAATCCCAAAAGGTTGATTCTGTTTATCTGGACATCCAGATGCGTCAAGATTTCAATGAAATGTTTCTCCCATTGAAAACACTAAGTCCAGAGGAACAAAATCAACCTTTTGGGGCACATAAAGTATTTTTTCATAACTGTTTTCAGAATCATGCACATTAAAATGAATTTACTGAACCATAAACTGTTGATTTTAATTACCTCTATAATGCCAGACAGCTTGATCTATTCCATACTTTGAAACTGTTTGCTCAAAGTATGTATATACAGATGAAACTGTTGGCTAACCTACCAATAAACAGCTGAAGTAGCTAGGTAAAACTGAGAATAAAAACTTGGAAATCACTGGCTAGCTGTTAAAATAATTATCTGGCAGTCTGGGAAACAGTTTCTATTGATCACTACTACATGGAGAGTATTATGAAGTAGGAACTAAAAGAGGACAAATTGCTGAAAGCCGTAACTGTAACCATAACTGCTAATGATAAGCTGAAAATAGTACTTTTCCAGGCTCAAATGAACATCTTTAAAGATGAGAGGTGGTGCTGGCGGAGGAGTCTTTGAGCCTGTCTGACTGGATACTTTGCTGGGAGTATGAAATGACGACTGGGAACCAGTGCTGTCTACAAAACAACCACAAAATATCATGTTTGCAAAAACACAATAGGAGTATTTAACACTGCAGCACAATACAGTTGGATAGGGACAAAGTGGTAGGTGTACAGCACATCGAATTCATTCCTCATTAGCTTTGTCCTTATGACTGCTAGGTCCTAAGCACTAATGGACGACAGAGATCTTAGACAGCAATAAAATACATTAGAGATTTTGAGAGAGGACAAATGAGACCAGAGGAAACCAAGCCAATCTGTTCATTTTCAGCTCCACATTAGTGCCACGGTTGGCGCAGGGGAGTACAACTGTTCTCTCACTTGGCTAATGGGTTTCAGGAAACCAACAACACAAACTGAACAGACCTATAATTCAGCCTATTTATAAATAGGAGTCGGGGAGAAGTAGCGCTGAGAAGCAGCTCCTGAAAAAAGGGCGTCTCACTCCTGTTGTTTCTTATCTTGGCTCTTATTGGAGCTGTAATCACCTCAGCATTTCCTGTAACCGTCAAGGTCAGACCAAACCTGGCTGTGATGCGAGTTAAACATGCTAGATCCCCCAGACAAACTGACAGGAAGCAGGCTGATTAAATACAACTTCATAAACACCCACTCGTTCCAATAGCAATACAATTAATACAGAGGAAAAGTCAATATAATTTCTCGCTTTTTATGTTCCAGTCCTTTCCTCACAATTTAGCTTCACCTTGAATAACACCATTGCCAGGTATGCGACAATAAAGGGTAGATACATGAAAAAATATGCAAAGATATCATCGCAGCACCAGGCGCCAGCACAAGAGTGCTCAAGTGATGGGAAACACGCAGCGTTTGTGTAATGAAAGTGTGATAGAAGCCGTGGATTTCCATTTCCTTTCGGGAAATGAAACATTTGAGAGGCTATCTCCGAAAACTGATGGAGTTCAAAGTCATTTCAGGAGTTTGGATGGTTTTGAATCCCCAAAAGTCTAATTGGAATGTTTTGAGTTTGCTTGTACGACTATAAATGTTCATGGTTTATGTACATTTCATGCTGAAAGGGCATTGTTCTCATGTTTTTATCTCATATCATTAGAACATTTTACACAGGATCAGAAAATTCTGCTTTAGCAGTCAGTAGACGTCACTGTTTACAAAAAGCAGCTAGACTTATAATACTGTGGCTCTAAGACAATAATGACGGTGAATTAACTTTAACATCATAGCTCCTCACTTGATAAAACAGCAGCTGGAAGTTATGAATAATCCCATTTCTTAGTATTTTATATTAGCAAATGAATAGCCAAACAGGAAATCACATGAGTCACTTGTGCTGTTGCACTGATGCATGTAGATGGCGGCAGTGAACAACAGCTGCGACTGTAAAATGAATGCATATCAACTCGCTATTGCATAAAAGTCCAAGTCATCATAAGTCCACCACCATGCTTGACAGTTGGTTTGAGGTGTTAATGCTGAGGGGGTGTGTCTTGCTAAACATGGTGCTGTGTTTTATGGTCAGACATCTCAACTTCGGTCCAAAAGACGTTGTTAAACAAGTCTTGTGATTTGCAAACTTAAGCTTTGCTGCCATGTTCGTTTTAGAGAGACGAGGCTTTCTCCCGGCAACCCTTCCAAACAAGCAACACTTGTTTTATTCCTAATTGTACAGTCATGAACTTAAACCCTGTAGTCTGAGGCTTTGAGTTTTTTGCAGTGTCTTGACGTTGCTGGAACGTCCACTTGTGGGAAGATTGGCGACTCCCTTGAAGGTTTTCCACTTGTGAATAATCTTGTTTGGAAATTGCCTTTTAACTGTCACAGATTAACAGGCAGCAGCAATTGCTTAGTTAAGATCATTTGTGACGTCTTTCCTCCTTGGCACTGTGTTACCACACATCTGAATGCTCCAGACCAGCAAACTGACGAAGCAATACATTTTTCACACATTTCTCCTGCATTTTGGCCTAAATTTTGTTAAATAAATAATGACAGTGTGATGTTTTGAATCTCCCCTTAAAATTAATAGTGGCTCAACTTTCTTTTTCATACGATGCTAACTAAATCCAACTGGGCCTAAGGGCTTACTGCCTCTATTCTCTGTTGCTTTTACTCGCATTGGTCCAGACACCATAATTGATCGCTGCGACCCACAGAGGACAGTAAAGCATTACAGTCAGCTGCTGGATAAAGTTTATCAACTGACTGAGCCACATGTCCCCCATAAGATAAAAAAGCAATCAGGGACAGATGCCTCAGCGGTAAAGTCAAACCAGGAGACAGAGAAACAAACAATAATAAAAACAACAGGAAGCAGCAGCTTAACCTCAACAGTTATTGGATGGCACAGAAGGGAAAGTCAGGCACCTACCCTGGTTGTCTCTGAGATGCAGAGCGATCTTGGTGTCATCTGTGAGGAGACAAAAACAGAAAGAACCACGAGCATCAGACACAATGATCAATATTTCTCTTTGTTGTTTGTTTCTGACAACATAAACAACTCGCTGATGGTCCCAAATGAGCCGAAGCTTCTTTCACTATATTTAACATCCTATTAAAAATGAATGCTGTGAATATAATGGTTTAGCATTCCCAATTCGGCACATAAAAGCAGTCTGGGGCTAACTATACATGTGAAATATGGAAATGTAGCATGACCCAGTTCTCCTTGAAGGGTAGCAGCCATTTACACACACCATAGGATTCATATTATGCAAATTTGACCCACACATCACACAGATGCATTTCACCGGATGATTTAATTCGAAAGGATTTCGGTTTCTAAAAAGAGCAAAGAAAGTGCATTTTAGCGACTGAAATGAATCATTAAAAGATATTGTTCTCTAAGTGGCTGCACGCCGCGCAGCAGAGTTAGGGTTGTGAATTTGATATTACTGTTTCTGTACGAGGAAGCCAACAAAGCAATTACCTGCTCTTCTATCACAGAAATGTCTATTTAGGTGAAGGCGTACAGAGTACAAATGACCCGGAAGCACTTAAAATTAAAAAGCGTTGTTTTTTGTAATCTATTCTCATGTATACATGCTGCACATTTGCCCAGAGAATATTAAAATCTTTTAATTGGTCCTAATTTCCCCATGTTCTTACTCCACAGTTTATTTTGGTAGCTACATTTTAGTTTCACTTCCTGTATTCGTCCTTTTGTTTTCGCTGCCTGGATTACTTTCCCCTGTGTTGGAAGTCATTTTGATAAAACATTAAAGTCTATGGAAAAAAGGAGAAAGCTAGCAGACACATCTTTTTATAGAATAGGGGACAAACTGATTTAATGTTAAATAAGTATGAAGTGTTTAAGGCTTAAAAAGGTGGAGAAAAACATCAACAAATAACCTGACCTGGTAAGACATAAGACCTTTTTTTTCATTGCTTTAATTCTACCGGAGGTTGTACATGCAGTGGAAGGTAGGAAATAAATTGCTTTTACAACTATCCCCAGTGCCGTGTAGCTATCATGGCTTAAAATACATATTACTGCAAAAATTCCATTCACTTTATAAGTGACTAGTTCCTTAGAGGGAGGCATATTAAGTACAGCTGAACGTGAGCAGAGTGAAAGACGAGACGTTTCCATCTCTTACACCCAAACAAGCCTCCACCCACGCAGACACATTCATCCTCTCCAGTCTGTTTTTTACCTCCTTCGCTCTTATGTCAACCTGCAGCTTTTGCATGAGCCACCAAGCCTGTAATCTAAGCTGACCTTTGACCCCTGCAGCTGACAAGTGAGGGGATAGCTGGCGAAACTGATCCACTGTCAGACCGTGGGTGATAACAAATGTAAACACCGCAGCACGACCTCCTGAACTCACGGATACTAACACATACACACGCCGTGCATTTTACTCCTCATGCTGTCTGCGAGGCCTCTCACCACGCCCCGGTTTGATCTGTGGGACAACTCGTTGTGTTTTGCCTCACAGCGAGGCGTTTTTCCCATTCCCTTCGTGAACTCACCGCATCTATCCTCATCACAGCAGCGCGTCGAGCACCCCGACCGCGATGGCCCGGACATTTAAACTCAGCCCCCACGAGATGATTAATGGGTGTGCGATGGAAAAGGTCGGCCACTGCCGGAGTTAGCCATGAAAGAAATGCTTCTTTTTTGGGGGGGAATACAAAATAAAAAGATAACCCAGACTTGAATGTAGAAAGTTTAATAAAAAATTGGACAAATGAGATTGAGACGTAGAGCACAGAAACACTGCAGACATGCACTGGAAAGTCTTTTTAGACTAACTACACTTTTGGGGACCATTTTTAAGATTTAGCTGTTAACTCAGTTAAAGCTCATCCAGAAGCACAAAATAAAAGAGATGAACAGAACGAGAACAGCACAGACTAGGGATGCAACGATACCAAGTTTTTCAAACCGATACGATACCGATACTTGGATCTGAGTACTTGCCGATACAGAGCACAAAAAACGATACTTCTACCACACACACACACACACACACACACACACACAAATACAATTAATTGGAAGACAGGTTTTATTATATTCCCTGCCGATAAAAAATAAAATCTTAATAAAAATGACCACAAAAAAATTTCAAGTGAAAAATAAGCACTTCTGTTAAATTATTGCAGAGTCTCCACATTGTAATTTTACAAAATATCACTGAACTATTGGCATTGTCTCGAGCTTTCAGAATAATAAATAAACACTTCTGTTTGGAATAAAATAAATACAAATTAGGTTTGCGAATAAAATAAACTTTTAAATTATTGCAGAGTGTCCATATTGTAAACAAACAAACAAAATAATTATTATTAAATAAATAATAAAATATAAAAATTATAAAATAAATAATAAATAAAATAATAATTGGCCCCCTAGTGGCCAATCTAAAAAACTACAACAGAAATGACAAGCCACCCTCTGATTAATGAAATAAGTTGGTATCGGTTCATGGTATCGGTTAACTTTTACGAGTATGAGTACACACACATTTATAGTATCGGCCCCGATACCCGATACCAGTATCGGTATCGGTGCATCCCTAGCACAGACAAAAACAAATCGACAAGAATTTGCTGCAGGAAGCTGGAGACTTTCAAGACCCTTCGAGGGTTTCACTGTAAAGGAGTAATAACCCACAAGAACATGATTAGCTTTAATCTTAGACTTTAAAGTCAGAACATCTGAGGTCAAACAAAGCCCTGACCTCGCGCGAGTCAAAAGAAGAGACTGGGAAAGATTGTTTTGCTGTGTTTACTGAGCCACACCATTAACAAAAAAACTTCCAGACAGCCCTAATTACACCTTTTTTCCATCGAGTCCCCTCAGGCGAGGCAGATCACTTAAACTCCGTCCTGTTCATATCATATTCCTATATGTTTACGTTCTAAAAGCTATGGAAAAATAACACAAATGAACAAAGACACTCTAGTTTATCATGAGTCTATGAGCGACACACCATCCTGATGACTTAAATTCCTCCAAATAGCCACAAAACTGCGTTTTGCACAACACAGAATAGTGTTTACTAAAACCTACGATTCCCAGCTATTTCAGGAAATTACTGAGCCACTTGAACAAGTAAACATCAAATTTTTGGCCTGGTCTTTTAAGTACAGACAGATGGGGTTGAGTACAGGCATGTTGTTAGTCATTACTCCAGCACGTTTATAATTTTTTTACCCACATTAATTAATTAACGAGTACAACGTACAATTTTTAATTGAATAAAGATAGAGCTCCCAAAAATATCACATGGAAGCAAGACAACTGAAAAAACCACCACACAATGTACCAGCTGTTTTTAGTGTTGATTATAAATGAGACCTCGTGTCTCAATGAGATTTACCTGTATGAAAAATATAATAAAATAAACAGTGTTTTTATACGGTGACATACATAGAGACAAGGGTAGGTGGGCCTTTCCTATCATTTTGATTCACTTACGATTCACATCTGGAGCTGATTAAGATAAACTGGCTGTTTACTGAAATAAAATGTTTAAAGGCCATATACAAAGGGAAACGAACCGAAAATTGGCGCGATAAATTCAACCGACTCGTCGTAACCCTGGCATCTCTGGAGGCAAAGAAATGGGAGTAAACAAACTCCAGAGGACACCTTGGCCGTTTTCCTATCATCAGCAAAAGACTGTCTGCTGCCTCCACAGAGATTTGCATTAGATAACTCGGAGATTATGCGGTCTGGATTCATCTCCCTGCACTGAATCATGTACTTTGCGGTGCAATATTAAAGGAATGTGACTTTCTCGACCTTTGCACAAGTTGAGGAAATGTGTGTGATGCAATGATTCATATCGACCGTTTGTTCATGCCGTCTTCACGAAAGGAGGCGCAACACACCTGTGTTTTGATCAAAGGTGTGCGCTACGAAGCAACGCTAACGGGTTAGTGATCTTTAAGTCAGAGTTTTAGTATCACAAAGGCGGCTCTCTTTTTAACCTGGTTAAATCACCATGGTAACCTGATCTGGAACTGGTTATCTTCTGGTATGTTCGGAAAAGTTCTGGTAGCCAAAATGTCCTCTATGTATAAAAGACATTTTTGGTTAATTCAGAGAAAAAAATGCTCTATATTTTTTATATTGATTTTCTCTTGTGTCACACCAGTCCTCTGCATGTCCTCCTTTACGACATCCATGAATCTTCTCTGTGGTCTTCCTCTTCCTCACACCTGGCAGCTCTATCTTTAACGTCCTTTGTCCAGTATATCCACTATCTCTCCTCCGCACACGTCCAAACCATCTCAGCCTGAGCTGTCCCTCTGATATACTCATGTTAAGCCTTCAAATTAGTCTTTAGCGTCAAACAGCAAAACGTCTCATAAATAACCTGAAAAATGACTGAAAAGAACAACAGAGGGATGAGAATATTTTTAAGTGTCAACAGATCTGTCGCATTCTTAGGCATGAAAGACCAAGACTGAGCTAACAATGTGAGATGATCCCAGGTCTGTGTGGGTGCTTCCATTTTCGACTGGTGGGATTTGTCCTAATTCAATCTGCTTCTTAAAAAGTTGGTACAAGCACAGCGCTCCGCTGCTTGTCATCTGGAACATTTTTTTTTTGTTTAAGTAGCGAGCTGCAGCACATATTCATGTATTCTTTAAACAAAATGTGTGTCTTGTGCATGTTGCAAAACAGGAAATGCATCAATAACAATAAAGAGCAGCTCCAGAGCATGCACTTCATTTAACATCTCGCCAGAATGGAGCATCGATCACAGCACAATATGCTCTGTGGCCGCGATCCAACGCTTCTCTTCTACTTCACCTTCAGTGGGGACGCTGGTGGGGGGGTGGGAGGTGGAGGGTGTTTCCCTGCCTGCAGTGGCCTCCTTCCCCTTGGGTGTTGTTTTGGCAGCAACCGTGGTGGTGAAAGGGTAAAGGTACGTAGTGTCTGCGATGTCACACATCTTGTCCTTGGTCTGAAAGATGAGACATTTTGTTATGTTTCTGATACAGATTTAGATGTTTCACCATCCTGAACTGTCGATTGTAATGGCTGCTTATTGTGACACTCACCTCATCTGGGCAGCTACTGTCCATCCAGTCCTGGTGATGGCGGTCAAAGCCAGTGGAACATCTGAGAGCAGAGGAAACAGCACAAATGTCAGTCTAATAAAGTGGAGTGGGATTATAGTGTATGTATATAGTGTAACCAAAGTTGAAGATTTTTGAGAACACACTAATATAAACCGTTTTTTAAACAAAACATAAAGCAGGAAAGATTTAGAGTCATAGTCAGGATTTAGTTAATCCAGCAGAGGGGCTCCATCCTAACTGTTTATAATAACTAACAGTGTTTGGAGCACAACTGCTGTAGGGTACCCATCACAGCCAAGCAGGATACATTACTCTTAAAACCAGAAGTCAAGAGCTTCGATGTTGCCTGCAAGCCTGCTTTAAATCAAAACCCAGAGTATATATGGCCAAGCATTAGTTGGTCTGCAAACCGGTGGTCAGAGCTGTCTGATAACTCCAACAAAGTTGCAAGGACAGAATTAAAAGAGATTATACAGTATGTTGTGCTATGTATGAACAAAACTTTTTTTTGTCATATCCAATTTCGCAGAGTACTTTCTAGCTACAAATGAAAAAACAAATTATTATTTTTTTTTTTTAAATGGTGTTGTCAAGCGTTAGCTTGTTAACGTTATCACCGTGCAGCCCCACGCACGGGGCGATAACATCTGCGTTAACTCGCTAACGGAGATTTGCCGCGTTAATACGTTATGGCGTTAACGTCATTTTACCGAGATTAACGCTGACAATAATAATAATAATGGATTGGATTTATATAGCGCTTTTCAAGGCGCCCAAAGCGCTTTACAATGCCACTATTCATTCACACACTGGTGGAGGCAAGCTACGGTTGTAGCTACAGCTGCCCTGGGGCAGACTTTATCCTGTCTTCCTTCTCTCACCCCAACCGGTCGCAGCAGATGGCCGCCCCTCCCTGAGCCTGGTTCTGCCAGAGGTTTCTTCCTGTTAAAAGGGAGTTTTTCCTTCCCACTGTCGCCAAAGTGCTTGCTCATAGGGGGTCATATGATTGTTGGGTTTTTCTCTGTATCTATGAAGCGCCTTGAGGCGACTTTTGTTGTGATTTGGCGCTATATAAATAAAATTGAATTGAATTGAATAGACTGACAGAAGCGAGGCTGCCATATCGCACCATTGGCCCCTCTGGCCAACACCAGTAGGGTAAAGTGTCTTGCCCAAGGACACAACGACCAGGACAGAGAGCCCGGGGATCGAACCGGCGACCTTCTGGTTACAGATACGCTTCCCAACCCCCTGAGCCACGGTCGCCCGTAATGGCACTAACGGCACTAATTCATTACTTTCTATGTCCAGACATAACAAACCAACTGTGTCCCTGGTTTGTTATGTCTCCATGTCTGTTTAACCCCAGTCTCACTTTCAAGTTCACTTGTCTTAGTCTGAGTCTCAGTGTGTGTTACTTCCTGTTTTATTTTGACAGTCTCCTGTCTTGTGTGTGTGATGTTCAGTTTTGCTTCCCCTGTCTCGACAGTCAGATTCTGTTCAGCTGTGTTCCACAAATGTATCCAATCTACTCCTGTGTATATATTATCTGCGTGAGCCTGTCCTTAATTTTTAGTTACAGACGTGTGTTAAGTTTGATTTGTTGCAAGGCCTCACCAATAAAGCTGTTCTGAGTCGTGCATTTGGGTCATTCCCTTCCTGCCACACTGCTGAACCTGAAGCTTTTACTGTCTAACATTGGGCTGATCTAATATCTCTGTTTGGTTGTACTCGCTTTTCCTCTCCTCTCTCTTTATACTTAACTTTTAATGCTGATTTACATTTTCTAAAACACTAGCTTGATGGAAAACAAAGTGGAAAAGGAAAAAGGAAGACTAAAATGAAACAAAAGTTCTCACTGTAATCAAACTCAGGATGCTGCTATCCCAAACAGGCCAACAGTCTATCCCCAAATTTCACATTTCAAGCCTAAAAAGAGGCTTTGTGGCTCTTGTCAGGCTTTCTAAAAAGCGCTGCATAATTATTTTCCAAGCTGAGTCATATTCCTCATGGTTGTAAGTACAACGAAGCTGAGTGCCTCCTCTAAACATTCATAGTGTAATTTAAGCTAAGATCAATAATGCCTTTAGGTTTGTCTACTTTGAAGCAAGCTGGGAAGAAAATATCTACACCTCCCACTCCCTGCCACCCTCTGAGCTTTGGATTCAAGGAGCTTAAAGGGGAAAGTGCGAAGGTCTGTGAGTGGGAAGTTCAAGGGGTCATGAGGCCTTGGGATAAGGGTCCTGCAGAGTCAACTATGCGTAACCATACGATTTGAAAAGACAGACAGCAATCGAGGCAACAACTACTAATCTTGCCTGCTGTAAAGGATAAAAATTATAACTCGCTTGCTGGTGAGCTCGCCATCATCCTGTCTGTCTACGCTCTCAAAGGATTTTCTGTGTGGAAGAAAAAGTTAGCATGCAAAGCAGGAAACCCACTCGCTCTGACATGCACACGGATAAAAACAACCTACGACCAGCTCGCAAGGCAGAAACACGGCAGTTCAAAGCACGATAGCAGTGGTATCTCTGCTTTGTGCTGCAGGGACACTATGAGCCCAAAAGGATCTCATGCATCCCCAGCAGGCCCCATTTCTCTAGAGAACATATTGTTATGGTAATGACTTTATCAGAAGAAGTCCATTTTCATCTTTCTACCTCTCTAATCATCCCATTTCTTTTACCCCCATCCCAAAAAAAATCACTCCATCTGTTCAATCAGGCGAGACAGATTCCTCTCCTTAATCCCCCATTTCCCCCCGGCTGCTTTTCCCCCCTGAGAGGGCAGCGGAGCAGCCAGAACGAGGCGCGATATTACTGAGCAGGTCTGGTCTAACCTGTTTCTAAAAGAAGCTCGTGGCTTTGTTTCTTCTCAATGGCATCCATCTCAGCCGGTTGCCATCTAAGACAGCGAGCCCACAGTGCTTTAATTAGAAATGGGCTGAGGTGCTTCATTTAAATATAAATAAACCCATGAGGTGATTATTTCTGCTCAGGTTTTCAACAATCACAGCAGGATGGCTGGATCGTGATATTAGGTTTCATTCTGACTCACTTAGAGGGAGTTATTCCTTGCATGACAGAAATGATTATAAAACCGTTTTTAACCCTTTAAATTTTCATATAATCAAATCATTGTGATGCATTTTTTTCAGTACATGTCTGTCAGGATAATTGTCTCTCTCTCTCTCTTTCTCTCTCGCTGATTATCCCACTGTGGAAGGTCCTAGAAGAAAACTACAAGCTGTCTGCCAACAGCTTGTAGTTTTCTCTCAGCATAGGCTGTTTACCCCTGAGAGCAGTATTACTTAAACATTATGGAGGGAACATTAGATGATGGTGACAGTTCATTCTGCTCTCAGTGATTTACTTTTAGAGAGAAATGTATTCATAGGAAGTTTATCACTTTGCTACACTTTGCTAGTACCAGGTTGGACCCCTTTTACCTTCAGAACTGCCTTTATTCTTCATATTCAACAAGGTCCAAAAGCATGATTTTAAAACAGCTTTAACTCTTGGACCAGTCTCGCCGGACCATATGTCATGATAGCATCACACAGCTGCTGCAGATTTGTTGGCTGAACACATGCATGATGTGAATCTTCCATTTTACCACATCCCAAGGGTGCTCTGTTGGATTGAGATCTGGTGACTGTGGAGGCCATTTGAGTACAGAGAACTCAAGAAACCCATATGAGATAATTGTGCTTGATGCTGACATCATAAGATGGGTACGCTGTGGTCATAAAGGGATGGACATGGACAACAATACTAAGTGTGGGATTTAAAAAAGTTCAGTTAGTGCTAAGGGTCCCAAAGTGTAAATCCATCTTGTCAACTTGATTGTGTCAATATTTGACCCTACCATTTGAATGATGCAGCAGAAATCAAGACTCATCAAATCAGATGTTTTTCTAATCTTCTATCATCCAATCTTGGTGAGCCTGTAAAAACTGCAACCTCAGCTTCCTGTTCTTAGCTGACAGGAGTGGAACCCAGCGTGGCGACCCACCTTGGTTGCTGTTGCCTTCCTATCAGCTCAAAGCAGTGGATGCTATCCTCTGGCGTCTACATGCCTACATGCAGTGAGTTCCTGCCATGTGATTGGCTGATTAGATATTTGGGTTAATGAGCAGCTGAACAGGTGCAAATAAAAACGTGTGTGCTACTCTTAGATTAATGAAAACACACCTGTAGTTTATTACTTTTTGGTTTTGCTTCATTAGTAAACTTTGCTTAGAATTTACTTTAAAGTAAAGCAGGACTTTTGAGATCTAAAATCTCAGACTGGCGAGCCTGTGTGCCGTTTCACGTAAAAACTATAGAGGAACAACTTGGTGTGAGGCTACCACAAATTAAAATTCAACATTCGTCTCCTTAACACCCATTTGTGATGCACACCAGCTGTGTTTTTTTAGGTAAACAAATCCCTGCACCTCTAAGCACATCAGCATTCAGAGGCTCTGGCACGTACGGCCCACTGTGATCCTCCACGGCAATGTCTGTCATGCTTTATTAACCCACTTTAGTCCACATCAGCCACAGCAAACTGATTCACCTTGTAACTTAGCATGAAAGAGGCGCCAGGCTCTCACCTTCACAGCACTCCACGGTGCGATCAGTCTGTTAGGGACGTTCCCTTTAAATTTCAGCTCCTTTCATTAACCCCCAGAGCCAGCGAGGCTGCCACAGTTTTTAATTAGTGCGTGTTTAAAGCATGTTTGCCTTTTTCAAATGAAATGGCTGAAGGATACAAAGGGCAGAGTGATGCTGAACAGTTAGATATTAACACAGTAGGAAAGCTAATTAAAATGCTGCTTAATGAGATCCCTGCTACAGGCGTACAGTATCTCTCCACCGCATCCATAAACTGCTGAACAGAAAAGCAGTTTTTCATATCATTGAACTGTAAATTAGATTGTCTTTGTCAAAGGGGAGGGCATTCAAAATGCAAAACAGAGGGGAAGTCAACTCCCAATACCCCTTCGAAGTCCAAAATAACAATTCCCAGCGGACAGAGCAGAAGAGCTGCACATTTCATTAAGTACTCCAAATAAATAATTAGTCCAAAGGAAAAGATTGGCAGATGAACGCTCACGAATTAAGGAGTTTAAAATGCAGCGGCGCAGGAAAAGAAGCGATTGTAGCTCGAAAGGTCAAACGGCAAAACCCCCGAAACACTGACGACAATCTCCGAAAATATTTTCAACAAAATAAAAATGCAGAAAAGCAGACACCCATTGACAGTCAGGTCCGAGCTTCCTTAACTTACAGGGAAGATAAACTCCTCCAACATCTATCCTCGGTGTCTGTTTAACTCAGACTTTTCTATTTGATAAAATAAAACCCACCACAGCTCACATTTCAGCTGTCAGGAAATTCTGGGGAGGAACGCCAACACTTCTTTAGCAGCTCAAATATTTACTTTTGTTTGAAATGATAAAAAGTAGAGCAAAGGTTGGCAGAACAGGTGTGAACTGAATGAATGTCGGAGTGAGTCGCTTTCTCTTCCAAAGACTACAACCAACTGCTGCGTAGCATAAATGTGAAGCTGCCTGATTAAATTAAAACCTAACGCACAAGTTTTTCAGAATAATCACATTATATTACTATATGTAAATCTGTGATCCAAATATATATGTTTGGATAAGATTTTACCAACAAGTCCCTCTAGACCCACTTGAAGTGTACACGTGGGGGATTCTGCAGTAGTCAGTGGATATGTGGAACAATAAATTCACATTTAAGTGGAAAAATTAACAGTTTATTAACTGTAATGGATAAACAGACCTCCAAAAGTATTGTATAAATTAAAAATATTAAAAGAGAAAAGGTCAAAGAAAGCTGAAAAAGAAGGGCTGAAATAAAAAGTACAATTAGACTATAGATAATAGTGCCAATAAATTAAATAACTTCCATCGTCTGTCCTTCCATCCATTTCTTGGTTTTCACTAAGGCTTCAGTCCTGGGGGGCAGCACTTTAAGCAGACACCCAGACTTCCCTCTCCCTGGCCCCATGCCTGATGAGGCACTGGATGGATGTCTACAAGACTGTGAATCTCTGTCTGTGTTTCTATTGTAATGCCCATAGTGACTTACCTAAAGCTAAAGAAAATTACAAAAATAATTAGAAAATACACAAATATAATAAAATATAATAATGCTGCCTGACAAAACCCTCCCAGCGATTTGTGTGTCCTGATGGTCTAAAACCAGAGAGCTTTTGCAAATTTGTTGAGACAGCGAGCTAAAAAGTTGGAAACTGTTCTTTAACAGCACAGATGATTGGGATTCACTATCCTGACCAAGGATTTTTGGCAAGCAGACTGAAGCAGCTGGGAATCTAACAATTACTAGTAGACCTGATCTGATATAACTGAATGTAAACCAATCAAGTAACTTTCACTTGATCAGATTTCATTACATTTAATGTTCTACACTGTGCTTACATAATACAATTAAACAGAAAATTTAAATGTAATTAAATGAGTTAAACTCAGCAGTTTAATGTATGGAACTGTGGTCCCCCCTAAAAAAGTCAGACTAAAAATTAAAACAGCACGTTCATGATAAAAGGTGTTGAACAACAGACAGTGTTGTATATACAGTGTACACCTCCATTTTTAGCTTTTCCATACCAGTTTCAATTGTAGTAAAAAATACCTTTTTGTGAGTATAAGGGATGTCACTTTGGATTTCAGGCATGAAGTGAGGAGCTTTTTTTGCTTTGTTTGCCTTCTCTCACCCCAACCGGTCGCAGCAGATGGCCGCCCCTCCCTGAGCCTGGTTCTGCCGGAGGTTTCTTCCTGTTAAAAGGGAGTTTTTCCTTCCCACTGTCGCCAAAGTGCTTGCTCATAGGGGGTCATATGATTGTTGGGCTTTTCTCTGTATCTATGAAGCGCCTTGAGGCGACATTTGTTGTGATTTGGCGCTATATAAATGAAATTGAATTGAATTGAATTTTATTATTTGCTTCGAGCCCTGTGTACAGGAGCTGCATGCTAAAAGATCTTTTGTTAAAAGGGTTGGCGTAATAAGCAAATGCTTCAGCCAATACCTTTTGATTAGCCTTGTCTCATGCTTTCTTGCTTTGTGGTAAATCTTTGTTCTGTCTTCACTGAGATATTTGAATGCTAATCAATAAACATATCAATGTAGAATGTAGGAGCAGAAGACAATTTAAAGTGGCTACCTGATAGCACTCGCCTTCAACAACCACAACCAGCTGCTTCTTATACTGGCATGTGGGGTTCTGCTCCGCTTTAAACATGCTTCTAATGTCTAGTTATTGTTTGGACATGGGTATCATTCCTAACTGACCAATCATCATGTAATGATCATAGCGTTTGTATGTTCACCATCTCCTCCTAGACAAATGGGCCATTCTTGAGGAAACTTTGTATAAACCTTGCCTATGGCACTGTGAGAGCCAAAAATTACACAGCAGGCACAAATATTTTATACAAATTCTACATATTTATTAGTATTAGTATTTAGCATTGGGGTTTTCTCTGTTTTCTGTGTATCATTGTAGGGTTACAATGCAAATCCAACTGTTGTGATTTGGCGCTATATAAATAAAATCATATTGAAAATTGAATTGTAGTTTTAGGGCTAGGCTGCTTTATGATAAATGACGATGTAAAAAAAATAAAGGATATAATAAATGGAGAAAAAAAAATTACAAATACAATGAAAACTCAAAAGCAAGTCTTAAAAGATGAATGGGTCTGCTGCTTTTTAAAGGCATCCAGAGTGTCCACAGGTTTTTAGTTTAACAGGAGACAGCTTCAGTTTAGGAGCCAAAAAAGGCACAGCTAAAGGCACATCCTGCCTTTAGTTTGAGTCTGGAGGGAGGGACAATCTCATAAATTTGCAGTGCATTTTTAATGCCCCCATGTGCTCGACCATGTGGAGCCCTAAAAATTATCCCGTGTAGCTTAAAACTGCTGAAACCAACATAAAGAGAAGAAGAGTGGTGATATCATGAGACCCCTTTGAAGGCCTAGTCAAAAGATTAGCTGCTGCATTCTCGCTTATTTACACAGGCAAAAAGTATGTGCACTTTGCCTATGTGCTAGGCAAGTTTTAATGGTTCAGTTCAATTCAATTTAGTGCTAATTCACAAACAAAATTCACCTCGAGGTGCTTTATATTGTAAGGTAAAGATGCTACAATAATTGCCTGTGAGAACATACTAGGTGGAAATGTGAAAAGGACAATAAAAGATGTCTTTTGTAAGAGTAAAAATGTTCTTATATCCAACCTGTTGAGCCGATGGCACCAGCTACAGTTGAAGCTGATCTGTGAGGAGATGCAGGAGCTACAGCTGGTGAACTGCAAGCAGGCTGCAGTGGAGAAAGGTTAAAAAAGAGGAAACAGTTTATGCAGTCAATAGCCAACTAGACACATGGCCAAGGAAAAGTATAATATAAGGAATTTACTCAGGAGTCTATATCAAACAAAAAACAGTTACTATTAATTCTGCTTACTGGGTAAAGGCATCATTTCCACAGCTGTAGAGTTGGTGATCTTTGTCTTAGTCAGCTCCACACGGTGGTACTCATAGATCGTCCTCCGCCTCACATCTAGATTTTGAAGGAAAAAAAAAAAGACTGAGTGAGAAAGCAGCAAAGCCACCATCGCAAATCCTCCAAACGCCGAGATAAAAACTGGGACAAGTTATCCCTATAGAAAGAGGAAAGAGAGTGGGAGGCAGAATCGGGTCATATGGGATGCTACCACAGCACTTTATTTCTCCCCTCTCGTTGTGCCCAAAGTGTCAGACCACGACTTGGCAATGGACGGTAGCAATTTCCCCCGGGAGCTGATATCAATCAGACCCTGTTGAAAGGCTGCCTTCCCAGTCATCTGTAACAGCGAGCCATCAGCCAGGGCATGATGGAGCAATTGATTAGATATATCATTGACTCTCATTGCATTCTGGCCCTTATAACTCATATTGGCTGGAGTACAATGGGCTGTCTGGGCCATGCGTCTTTGCTACCATAAGTGGAAAAAAGACCAGAGCAGTAGCTTGACAAATGTAATGATTGTGCCTTCCTGCTGTTAATGCATGGATTATTTCAAACTCTAATTAGATTTTTATATGACTTTTCTGTGCAGGCGCCCCAGGAATAAAGCAGTAAATCTGTACTGGATCGCACTGAGGTGCACTGCAGTGCGTACAGAGACAATGCACAATGCATGACATTCTTTATCGCACTTGTATTTGCTTGGGCAATGAGCTACAAAATGAAATTCAATACATAAAACTGTGGCTGTGGAATATATATATAGCAAGTAAATCCCTTAAAATCTAATATATTTCCAACTGGTAAAACTGTGTTAAAGTTAAAGCTATTCAGCTTAAGCTTATTAAGTTATTAAGGTGTGAAGATTGATGCTACTCTCGTGTCTGCCTATTAAACTAATGGACAGAGTCCAGATAGTTTGTGTAGCCTAGCTCAGTTTAACTTAGCAAGAACACTGAAAGCAGTTAGTCCAACTCTGTGTGAAGCTACCAAAACCTGCTGCCTACCAGCAACTCTAGAGCTCACTTAGTAACACAATTGTTTAATCCCCACAAAAAAGTTATGGTTTTAATGTGCTGGGCTTTTGCTAAGCTAAACTAAGCTAAGCTAGGCTAAGCTAACTAATTAGATACATTTTACATTACTGGTTTTGCCCAGCTTATTAGTTATATTCAAAACACAGCCAATGTTAACACACAGTACATTAGAAAGAAAAGGGGGCAGGAAAAGCAACTTAAATAAAAAGTAAATAATTTATGTCAAATTTTGATTACTCGTATGGCAAAGATTGTCACATCATTTCCTGTTATCACTGTGTATGATAAATCCTGATTTGTAATCCAAAGAAATTTAATCCAACCCTTGTTGCTTCTTTAAATTAAGTCAGTTACATAGCACCACAAAAGTCCTTTAACTTTTACAACACCCTTGCATTTGACACATTTGAATAACTTCTCTGCACTAGGTTCCTTTTTTTCCACTTGACTGAGAGACTCTTGGTGTGGAAAGAGTTGTGCCCCTCATGTGGTGCGACACTGTTTCCTCGCAGACTGCTTATTTTGATTACAGACAGGACGGCTGATCAAAGCAGCAAAATGTGAGCCAGCTCAGCCCAACCTGAGAATACAACCGCCCTTCCTTTCCCCTCCTCTGCTCCCCTGGTGATTGACTTCCTTTTGCCTACAGCTAAAGGATTATCAGGTGCCTAATGGTGTGGTTAGGGCCAGAGAGAGGTCATTTCCACAGCCTAAGGCTGCTGATGTCTGGGCAGGCTGTATAGCTTCTCCGATCTGTGGTTTAAGGTGATAAGAAGCTACAAATTAAATCAATTATAGCCTGGTCTCAACAACAACATAAATAACACCTAATGAGAATTTAGCTACCTTCAGTGATACTGTCAGACAAAGCCCAGTTTGCATAAATGTGTCATCAATTATGTAAAAAAAAAGCTTAGTTAAATCATCTTCAAACATCCTGAAAAGACAGTAAACAGTGATGCTAACCTGGACTGTAATTCTTTTTTCAATTGCACATTTTAGAAACCTGATTTAATAGTTAGAAGACTTTTTATTGAGCATTAATGAATGCAAACAGAATACCACAGATTTCTCTAGTTTACACGGATTAAATAATCCAGGTACAGAAACAAAGATCTGAAAATGGCTGAGGTGGTTTTGGCTTCATTTTAAGAGTGACTAATGATAAAGTCTAACCTAGCATTAAAAGCATATTACAGCCTGTGTTGTAATAAGTGCTTGCATCTGACCTGTTAATTACACAGGACACCCACAAATATATTCACTCATCGCTTCCTTTACTGGATGGGCTGTGGGTTGGTCTGCCCATGGGTAAAAATTTATTGAGCTTAAAAAATGCAATAACGTTGTATAATCTAACTGGCTGCAGGCAAACCTTTTTTTTTGCATTTTCCCCCTATATTATTATGACCTAATGCACTTTATGGAGCATCCATTAGAATACATTTATTTATTTGTCATGACAAGGTTGTGAAAATATGTCAAAATGTATTACCAGGACGTTCAGCTTGATTGGAATAGCATGCTATGACTTCTGGTAGAAATTCATTGTATGGTTTTTTTTTGTTTTTTTTAGGAATTTCTCCAAATTTTCTTGTCCTTTTCTTTTAATGGAAAGGACAAGCGAGAGCTCATCTCTTCTTAAGGTTTTAAGTTGTAAGATTACAGGGTTTAACTGCCAGTAGATCACGCCACATAGTTGCTATTAGGTGTTGTTGTTAGCTCTTGTTCCCTCCTGATAGCTGGTGATGGGTTCGAATGGCATTATCAGCTAAAAATAGTCACTGCAGAATATAAAATGTTGGCACATGGCTCATGTTGTGTGATCTGGAGTACAGATTGATCAAAAGTCTAATATTTTTTTGGATTTCACTTTAAAAACTGCTCTATCAGCAGTATATTTTGCAGCCTGCACTTCTATTGTATGAGCAAGAACAAAGGGAGACTTGATGTAACATATAAACTATTCCCATACATCATCCTAATTTTTTCATGACTACTGCTGATTTGTTCTTTTTCTAAAGGTTAGTCCCTTTTCCCTATTAAAGGTCATTTCAAATAGTTTTCTTTATTATTATGAAAGATCTCTGATTGTACAGGCAATATCGTTCAATTTCTCCACAGGGTCTTGCTGTGCAGTTTATAAAGAACATCAGGCCCTTTGGACTGACAGGTGCAGGATGCAAATACTGCCCTTTTTCTTCAAACATGGACATGAGTCAGTGCACTCTGCAAATACCATCTGTGAGAAAACAAAGCCTTGTTTGTTTCAGCTAATGCAAGAGTTTGATTTCTTTACAGTGACTGCAGACGGGTGATATTCACAAAAGCCCTCCTATGGCTATTGAATAGTCATGGACTAAAACTAAAGAGGTTCATAATTTGTCAGACAAAGATGCAGTTTTTGTAGTTTTACCTCTGTACACAACCACAGTGGATTTTAAATCAAACAATAAAAATATGATTTAAGTCTTGACTTTCAGTTTTAATTCAAGGAGTTTTTACAAAAATTTTGCATGAACAGTTTAGGAATTAGAGCCATTTTTATTCACAATCCTAATTTTGCAATGTCAATGTCAATGTGACTGTGTTTACCTTCAGTTGCTGCTTGCGGGTCTCTCTGCATCCGTTTAATAACTGAAAAGCATGCTCCATTGGGTCGAGATCAGGTGACTGACTTGGCCACTGAAGAATGTCCCATTTCTTTGCCTACAGAAATTCGTGATGCTTCTGCAGTGTGCCCTGGGTTAATATCCAAGTTTGCTATCTTAAAATGGACCACTCTATAAAAATATTCAGAAAGAGTTCATGCAAAATCTGCATTTTAACCATCACATCTGTTTGACTTAAAATTCACTGTGGTGAATTTATCAAAATTTAAGCTGTGTCTTTATGAATCTAACAATATTTCTTTTTTGTTTTGGTCAAAATCTAAAGTACAGCAGCAGAAATGTGTGTTTGTCTCCTTTCCGCTAGGAAAATTTTTAAAAATGTTTTTTATTTACAACCCATTTTCAGGATTTAGGTTTCAAAACAACATTATAAAGTGAGGAATGAATTTAATGATAGAGGATAAAATCTGTCAGGGATAGCTGTGGTTTAATTTATTGCTTGAAATCGGATTTGGTTCTGTCTTTGTCCTTTAATGTTTGGAAACTCGTGACGAATTTCAAGTAGTAGAGCTACATATGATCCGTGCAACGACAGCTTTGTATGATTTAAATATGGGCAAGAAATAACATACGTCTGAGTCGAAAAGAAGTACAGTTTCCTCATTTTGATGCCACCACCGAAACTGTTTTAGCATTCTGGTTTTCCTGATAGAAATGAAGTATCTGCCATAAAGACAAGAACACACACTCCTCGGAGACACGAGTTATGTTCGACACAACACCTCAGTCTCAATATGCTTCCATTCAAGATTTCATCACTCCACAGCCCAGCAGTTGCACACATTGGTTTCATCATGCTGTGTCAGAGGCATCAAAGACAGTTTGGTTTATAAAGTCTAGGAGGACTGTGCTAACTGGTTTGATATTCAAATCTCTCAGTGCCAACTGCAGCCTTCTGCAAAGAGATCCTCTATGAAAGACCCTGGGACATGCCAGAAAACAAAGTTGGAAACTCTTACCAAGCCAAGAGGATGTGTTTTTTTGTGAGATTTATCTTACTCAAACTAAACTTACAAAACAACCCCTCTCACTACATACTGCGGAGAACATAAAGCTGCCGCTGAAAGGATGAAAAAAGGCCCGAGATATTAACTTTGACAAATAAACGCTATCCAAGTTTCACAGATGTAATCACAACACCATTTAAATTACTGAATAAATCACCTTTGACAACTCATTATTGCAGCAGACTTTGAATCAGAGCCGGTGAGAGCGAGAGAGTCGGACTCTGAATGAAAAGGTTTGAAGTGTTTCTCCTGCATTTGCTTTAAATGTAATGGGCTTAAATTACAGTAACTGGAAATAAAAAGAAAGAAAGAAACAGGCAGATGTGGAGCTGTGCCCATTCAGGCTGAAGAGCAGTGGGGAGAAAAGGTGGTGACAAGCTGGAGCTAAAGCCAAACGGACGAGGCTGAACTGAGAGCTGTGACACTAAGTTAAACTCTTATTACACTAACTGAAATGTAACCTTTGGCTAAGCTCCTGTTTTTATTTGCAGTTTTATTTATGCTTTGTAGTTTGTTTTTCTCACGTTTCCTCATGAACGACTTTGAGTACTAAGAAAAAGAGGCTTTAAAAGAAATAAAGAGCTATAATGAGCTGCTACGAAAACCCTGAAATCTGATATAATAGCATTTCGCTTGCCACAAATGCTACACAGACATTGATCCAGTCCTGAATTGTTTTTTATACCTCTACGTAGCTCACGAGCTAGTCAGAATCCCATTTTCCAGAGCTACTCTACAATGTGAACTCCAAACATAGCGCAAAGACAGCATGTGGATTTATCCAGATACTTTAATATGCACAAAAAATTTTAGGGCATTGAATTGATTTTGAGACTCACTGGGTATCTGCTGGATCTTGTGGACCAACACAAAGGCGTCAGACAGGCCAACTTTCACCGGGTGATTGACAGAGCTGATCTGTGACACCTCAACGGGGATCTGAAATAGAAAAAGGGAAATCATTACCATGACCACGAAGATCAGTCTGAGACAGGCTGAGAAATGCAAACAGGCCACAGCAGCGTAGAAGTGCTGACAACCTCCTTTAGGAATCTGCTGAGGCAACATGCTACTTCAATAAGCATATGGCTATCTTTGGAGCATAGAATAAACATTTCAGGCACAGATGGGACAGAAATGAGCAACAGCTTTGAGAAGACTTACAAATAGAAAAACAGAAGTCTATATAAGGTAAAATGAAGTATTTTGATCGTACACACTAATTCAGAAAAGCAGCTAAATGCAACAAAAGTTTGTATGGAGGAGGAATTTAAAGTGACATAAAGTACATAGTAGCTCAGCTGTACTCAACATCAATTCGTAATCATCCAGGTTATGTGCACACAGATCACGACTAATAGTCACACTGCTCTTTTCAGACCCATAATAATGCCAGCCTAATGTGAAACAACAGGAGAAAAAAGTTCAGCAGCCTTCAGATCAGATCCTCTAATAGGTAAAAATAACAAATTACACAAGCGAGCTCGAGCATAAAAGAAGCAGCACTGCTGTTATAACCACTGCAATTATCTTATCATGACTTAGGAAATTTCACACTCCAACAGCGAGCTCTTCAAGTTTTCTTTTCTCTCTCTTCAATTAGGTTGTTTTTCCAAGACATTTTTGAAATGTGGATATTAACGGACACGGTTAGGGCGTGCAGTGACCCAGAGTTTGTAACATTAGTGGAGATTATGCCAAAACCTAATCAAGCATATGGAAAAAGCTAGTAAGGCGTTAACTGATTTTTTTCTTGAGAAGCTGCCATTAAACTTGAGAAACTCATTTTGTTGGCCACTTTGGCATTGCTCCTTTAGTCAAAACACATCAACACTGGGTATTTGTTCACTGAACTAAAACAACAGGGCAGAGCCAAATGTTAGAAATGAGTGATACTGTTAAAAGAAACGTCAGGGAAACAGATTGTGTGTGTTTACGGTTTAAAAGAGACCTTTTGTTGCCACTATCAGATCATTAGTTTTATTCTTAGACTCTACTACAGGCTTCATATGCTTTACAGTTCAAAATAATCTGTATCTATCTTATACTGGGCCTCGGTGCAGACCTTGAGTTCATCCTCTGTCTGAAACATTTAAGCTTCTCCTTTAAGCAAACTGTCTTCTGATTGGCTGCCCCTCGTAAGCAGGAGGTTTGAATAGCAGGAGTGTGGGGCTGCTGTTATCTATGACCTCATACAAATCCAAGAGTATAAAAACATTTCACTCGCTGGGCCCACATCCTCGTTTGAGGTTTGACAGCGTTTTAGTTGATAAAGGTGAAGGCTTGGACATGAATTGAGCTGCGGTTTGGGGGAGGCCTCGAAGAGGACTGGCGCGGCTCCCGGGCCTGGCAGATCCCCATGTACTAAATAGACGTTAAGAAGTTCAAGAATTAAAAAGGGGAAGCAGGGTGGGGCATGTAAATGAGAACGAACAGCTTGTAGAACTGGGGGAACATATATAGATGAGAACCAGGAGCGTGTTTGGAGGCGTGGTCCTGCTCCTGAAATTCAGATACTTTATCTCCAATCTGAAGCCTGAGCTTTAGGATTAACACATAACTGGAAACTTTGGTTATCTCGTATAAGATGTATGATGAGCTTCTGCCGATTGAACATCTATAAATAGATTCATCTGAAAATATATGTATGACAGAAAATAGGTAGAAATGCATTAGGGCCACTTAAATGTAAGTAATATTATCTTTTTCTTGATGATTGTGTGTCAGTTTTTCTGAAAATAGCCACTTGAAAGTATCTGGTAAATAAAAATTGGTGTGCAATTTTGAAAAATTTAAATTTACTGGCAATTTTGTCAAGACTTTTAGTTGAAAACAAACCCCAAAAAAGTATAAAAACCATTAGCAGAATGGTAAGAAATAACCGGTGTGATGCTATGTGTTGGAGAGAGATACATTAAGTGGAAAAGAGAACTTAAATTCAGGGACTGGTCCAAGTAGGGGGTGTAATGAAAACTGAATGCTATTTTTTTAATGTTTAGTTCTGACTCTAGAAACAGTGAGGTAAACCACTATCTGACGATGCTGTCAGAAAAAGAAACATAAACAGAAATGAGCGCGGTAAGAAGCCGAGCCTTTGTGAGATCTCGCTGTCCCCACCTCTTTGTAGGCGAAGACGATCCTACCAGTCTTGTGCAATGTGGCCTGGAAAGTGAAACTTCCCAGGCTGTAGTTGTCCTGCAGGTGGACGTGGTCCCACTGCACAACCAGAGCAGTTCCTTAAAGGAGAAAGAAGAGAGAAAAGAAAGAGTGAAAACATTTTCACAGCTTTTGCTAAACAGCATCGGCTAGATTAAAGTAGAACACAGTACCAGTGAATGCAACTGTCTGCATATAGCATGTACTTGTTTTACTCTGTTGCTTTCTCAGATCTAGCGTGAAATGAACTGCTGACTGAGCAAAGACTGAGAATAGAAAAGACATCATTGCAACATCGGTTTGTGTAAAGAGATATGAGTTTGAGGCATTTTTTTCCTGGAATCATTTCCCCCCGGGGTTTCTGTGAGGTGACTGACACTGAAGCAGTGATGTTGAAAAGCTTCGCTGGAGTAAAAAAGAAATGGCAACGATACTGAAGCTTTTGACAGAACCAAATGAAGGCGTGCCCGTTACTGTGACAGACAGTGTGAGTCGGGCAGTTTTCACCATGAGAGTTTTTCATAAATGACTCTTTCCTAAAGTTACAGAATGAAAGCTGCCAACTGAAAAGGCTCAGAGCAATCGCCAACGTGTAGTAGTACTGAAAAATGAGATGGAAGCAGTGAAGTAGCAACGACAAGACTACTGAACTGATCCAGGTGCAGCTTTTAATGTATAAACACTGGTGAACATCATTGACACCTCTACCAGGTAAACAGAATGCATAGTGTTTGAATAAATGCATAAACAAGGGAACATATATTACACTATAACTTAATTCTGTAACTTCAAATCTTACAAAAGCTGCCAGACAGGACAAGCTTCTTTCCTTCCCACTGTCGACAAAGTTCTGGTTCATAGGGGGTCACCTGATTGGCGGGGTTTTCTCTGTATCAGTGTAGGGTCTTTACCTTACAGTATGAAGCGCCGTGAGACAAATGAATTGAAGTGAACTGATGTTCATTACCAGGAGCCACCACCATGATGCATCGGTTTCATTCGGGGAAGTACTAAATTAGCACCAGACTCACAGCTCTGCCCTCCAGAGAGCCAGCCTCGCATTACTTTTAACCCTATTTTAATTTACTGTGGACTTTGGAGAACCCGCTCATGTGGAAGCCATTCGTCCCCTCAGAGTTAGTCATTTGGCTTGATGCCAGGGCAATAAAGGTTTGTTAATGCGACCAATCAATTTTTCCATCACACAGACAGAGCAAGTCCATCCAAACTAAAGGCGAGCTTTAGCTTCCCTGCTGGCAGTTTGGAGAGCAGCGGTGACTGGTCGGAAAGGAAACCCCATCATAAATTACATGTGGTTTACTGCATGGCCTCTGGCACTGGACATGGATGCGTCTTGTGTTAAAGGAAGGGGAGGCGGGTTAGACAACAACATGTGACTAATATTTTAACAACCTCGAGGAGAAAGGCATTGAATATACAGTAAGAAGCCAGTGCACTAAATTGCTATTAACTTTTGGCACAGCGGGATTACTCAGTCAGCACGAGTTACGCTTAATATAAGTCTGCTTAAAATGCATTGAGTTCAGGAGGGGAGGCTGACGTGCTATCTGGGGCTGCCTTTCTAAAAATATAGAGTGGGTGAGGAGGTGTGGAGGGAGTACACACTGGCCTTGTTTCCATTTTCAGTTACAAGTTTAACCCGCTGTATGAACAAAGAAGCAAAAAAAAGAAACAAATCCAGCCTGTAACACCAGAACGATTAGGCCATTTTTTGGCTTAGGGAAAAAAAAATGAATACATCTGAGGAGTGATGGACAGATGTTCAACAGATGTTGCCAGGAATGCAATGGCAGATTAACAAGACAGTCAAGATGACAGAATTACTGAAGGTAAACATGTGAAGAAGCAATTTCCAGATTCTACTATCCAGTTAAAAACATTTTATATGCACTTTTGTTCCCATAAAGCAACGTAAACTGGCCATATCACAAATTTGATGCAATCTGCCTTAGTTTGCTACAAGTACGAGTAACCCTGACTCCAGCTCAGATGGAAGCCATGCCGCAGAGAAGCTTCTTGGTATCTGATAAAACCAGAAAACCTTGATGAAGATCTCCACTTAAGCAGTTTATCTAGACTGTAATACACTCTTTAGCTTATCCAGTGAGATAATATCAATAGAGACTTCTCCAGGCGATGTCACTCAGGGCCACTTCATTATCCATATGTTGATGCTCTCTCAGCTGCAGCTCACCGAGTGTTTGCCTCATCTGTCTGTCAGCGTATTGATGAGAAAACCCACGCGGACTCTTCTATAACAGCGAGTGTAGTCTGACGTGCTTCCCGGAGCGTTACAGCATTGCAACACTCACATTTGCTGGATTTAGGATGTTTTGAATGGACAAAGACGTTAATCTGATCAATAAGAGGAAATGCTACGGGACTGCACTAATTGTGAGTGACAGATGTGTGTATTCTTGGACATGTTGCTATTCTAGATATACTTTTTCAAGACTGGACAGCCATATCATCCACCTGAAACATGAGAAGTGTAAGGGAGTCATTCAGGATTAGACTATTAAAAAAACAGCAACAGGAATCTAAAATATTTAACAATACATGTCAGGGTGGTGACTCTGATCCTGGGTTGGTACTATTGTTCCTTTTTTTAATATAATAAAAAATTAAATAATTGAACAGCAGCTGACGGTGCTGTGAATGTTAATCACTGAACGGTGGATTAATACGTGCTCGTCTTTTGCATCAATCAGCCTTATTTTTATCACAGTGATGTCACTGTGGTCCCGCCGGACACAAGAGTCAGCTGAGGTGCAGAAACATTAAACTCCTCTGTAAATAAACTTCAGCTCTTCAGTCCTATCACATGCGCTCTTTATTTAGCAGATTTCAATTAACAACATCAAGTGAAAGTTGTGAAACTTGAACATTTGACAGCAAAGGTTTCACACACCCTCCACAGTCTAGTTTGTGTGGGACAAACAATATGGTTCTGCGGCGAACGCCTCATCAAGCAGCTTCGAAACTTGTTTTTTATCATTTTTTAATGGAGGCACTGCCTCCTCCACAGCACGGCAGACCGTGCAGTTCTTATGTTGTATTGGCAGGACATTGACTGATGGACGCAGCGCTGAGAAGCAGGCAGGCTGAGAATCGATTGGCTGCCAGTTTGGTTAAAGTCTGATGAGCTCCACTGCAGAAGGTCACACAGTTGGTCAGTCACACTGCTGCACACGGATCACAGAGCAGTGACAGACAGGACGGATAACAACCATCACAGATAGCAAAGAAAAGATACGGAGAGTGAGGAAGGGCGATGTTTTAGTTTAAAGGCAGTAAGCAGAATTTAAGGAGGTCTTAAGAAGATCTTGGAGGATTCTGTGAAACACTGTTAGCCATAAAATCTATTCTTTAACTTTAAGATTACCTGGCTTTATATAATAAATACTTTTTTTGGAACTTATTCTTGCAGACATAAATACATATTGCAGTTTTGTAAGCAATTTGTATTTTGATATATACAATGCAATAAAATTTCTTGAGGGATAGAACAACAGTAATATATTTCTGGGTCCATCCATCCATCCATCCATCCATCCGCTTATCCTTTTCAGGGTCACGGGGGTCGCTGGAGCCTATCCCAGCTGTCATAGGGCGAGAGGCAGGGTACACCCTGGACAGGTCGCCAGTCTGTCGCAGGGCCAACACACAGGGACAGACAACCATTCGCACTCACATTCACTTGCACATTCACACCTAGTGGCAATTTGGATTATCCAATTAACCTATCCCCACAAGCTGCATGTCTTTGGACGGTGGGAGGAAGCCGGAGTACCTGGAGGGAACCCACACAAACACGGGGAGAACATGCAAACTCCACACAGAAAGACCTGATGATGGAACTGAACTCAGGACCTTCTTGCTGTGCAGCAACAGTGCTTACCACCGTGCCGCCTACTGGGTCATTTTCATCAAATGAAAGCCTTGATAAATCAAGGTACTTTTTATATATGAGCAAAACTCTTACACAGGCTACAGGCTATAGAGAAACTATAAAGTCTCATGTTAAAATGCCCAACCTTAAAGTAGAAATAACCATGTTTACAGTATAATATATAGTTTTAGTGTCTGAAGCTAATTCTGTGTTCATAATATATGCATTGGGATTAATTTCAAAATAGCTCATCCCTTGATGCTACTCGCTAACCAAGCTAGCTAGCCAGTGCTAGCTTATGCTGATAACTCATTAGTTATACTTTCTTGTCTAGATGTGGTGATGCTTTTAAACAAACAAACAAAAATAAAACAAAAGAAAGAAAATAAAAAATGAGATGTGGCCACTTTAAAAAAAGTAGACCATGAGTTTTGTTTAGTTGGATGTCAATTAAATGAAACCCATGGGCTAATATTCGCCTACAATATTAACCACCCTGATATTGTAAGGTAAAGACCAACCATATTAGAAGGAGAACCTTAGCAACAACACCACCCTCTGTGAACAAGCACGTGACGACATTGGTAACCAGCTGAATCGAGCCAGAACAGACAAAGAGACAACATGTCTGTGTTGGAGACAAGTTATGCTCACTCGCTCAGAATGACTCAGATTAATTGCAATGTGTTGGCAACTCATAAACTGGTTTGCAGTTATTTACAAATTTTCACAAATCTCTCTGAGAGTGATTGCAGTCAGTCTAAATTGGACTTCAGTTGTCTGTTGACAGGTTGCCTCCCACTCTGTGTACCTGTGATCACCTTCCCATCAAAAGTGGTTATCAAGGTGTAGAAGATGTTGCAAACTCAACCTCAGGGTGACCAATACCAAAACATCAATGCAATCAATGGGCAATAACAGAATTTTACTTCCTTTTTCTCAGCAGCAAAATGAACCACAGATTTGGCTGCAGGAAACTTAAAGCAAACCCACTGTTTCTTCACAAATTAGCTCATTGAAATGCTTTTTTGTGCCACATTTATTTTGTAGTGCACGGGAAGGAGTACACAACTCTTACACAATCGTGCAGAACTAAGATGCTAGTGCTGTTACCGTTGTCAGAGTAGATGACAGTAGAGTTTCTGGAGAGACTTGGGTCAAAGTTAGCCATTAGCGGAGCAATGTACTGTGTAGCTGTTAGCATCCGGTGGACCACGTCACCAGTGTAGATGAACCCTGAAGGAGAAAAAGGACAGAAGACCACATATTACTCTTTGTTGAACTATAAATTCAAATTTTGACTTCTAATTTAACACTTAAATTATGACTATGTGAAGTGTCACTTATAATGCAGATATCCTTCTTGTCTCCCCCATTTCTACCTTTCCTCCCTTAATAAAGCTGTAATCTGATACACTGTCTACCCAGGAGACAACATCGCTGCCCTTCACTCCACAGTTAACAGCTTCTCATTAACAGACAACCATCTCTTGTCTCAGTCTACGGGCTTGCGCTCTAGGTACCTTCACCAAGGAATAGCGATTAATTAGCCCTAATATCTTTTATCAAAAAACAGAAGGGCAAATCAGAATGACTTTAAGGGAGGATGTGCTCCTGTTCCTCCACTGCTGCACTTTCTCCTCTCTTGTCATTATCAATCATGAATGCTAATGAAGAGTCGATGACAACGAAAAAGGGGTTTTGTTAACTTTTCCTCAACAAGGCACAAATAGATTGCTCTATAGAGGGAAAGACGGGGAGACAGAGACGTGCCCAGGCAACACAAGCTAGAGCTGGATCATTCAACAGCCCATCAATGTGGTTATTAATGGACTCCAGGAAAAGGGGAAAACGCTCACTATTCATCACAAGGGAGCAGTCTTTGCATAAAGAATTTGCACTTATGACAACAGAATCAAACTTCATCTTAATTTCCCTGCTGACAACAATGTTTAGCAAAGTCAGCTTCTATTTCAAGATTTATTCAAGGTAAAAGCTTTTGTTCTCACACTGACTTTGCCTGGATTGCAAAAATAGAAAAAATAAAGCAATAAAAAGGATCCCACGAACGGCCTTAGATATCATCTTTTACTCATTACAAAAGGAAAACCTGGCATTTGGGTGAAACTGTGTTACATATCCAAAGTAGTTCACCTTTGAAGAACAGTTTGAAGAATGAATAATAAACGTACAGTGACAGTATCTTCAGATAACTACATGCTTTAAGCAGCTTCTTGTCAAATGATTCTTCTTCTTCACTTCAAGGTATTTATGTTTTTAAAACCTCATCACCTTTGCCCTGTTAAAGACTGAGAAACTAAATTTATTCATCTGTTTACTGGGACCAGGTTACTTTTCTGTAGCATTCATTTGATGATTTTACACACACACATTTCATTAGATACCCTTTAAACCACAAATTTCTAATCACACAATCACGTTTTAACAACTCTATGCATTTAAGTATGCAGACATGACGACATGCATAATTTCAAACCGAGTGGGAGATTGGGGAATAAAGGTAATTTAAGTGACTTTGAACGTGGCATGGTTGTTGGTGCCATGTATTTCAGAAACTGCTAAGCTGTTGGGATTTTCCAAATTGTCTGAAAAGACAGAAAATATCCAGTGAGCAGCAGTTCTTTAGGTGACAATGCCTTGTTTATGTCAACGGTCAGAATGGCCAGACTGCAGAAGAGCATCTCTAAACAAGGGCCACAGCAGAGGACCACACCAGGTGCCACTTCTGTCAGCTAAGACCAGAATATAGAGGCTACAATTTGCAAGGGCTCACCAAAAGTAGAAAAATGTTTTCTGGTCTGATGAGTCTCTATTTCTGCTGCAAAATTCAGATGCTACGATCAGAATTGGTGTAAACAGTATGAAAATGTAGCTCCATCCAACCTTGTGTCAATGTTTCAGGCTACTAGGGGTGTAATGGTGGGGGCGTATTTTTTTTGGCACATTTAGGTCCCTTAATGCCAACCAGTGTAGTTTAAACACCACAGGCTACTTCAGTATTGTTGCTGCTGACCATGTCAACCACTTTATGAATGCAGTGTACCATTTTTTGACGGCTGCTTCCAGCAGGATAGCATGCCACGTCACAAACCTCAAATGATCTCAAACTGGATTTTTGAACATGACAATAAGTTCGAAGTACTCAAATGGCTTCTACTGTCACCAGATCTCCATCTATCCGAGCACCTTTCGGGTGTGGTGGAATTGAAGAGTCACGTCATGAATGTAGTCAACAAATCTGCAGCAAATTGTTGAATGTGTCCCAAGAACAATATATAAAAGTATGAAGCCAGCATGTTACTAACTTTGCACAAACACTGGAAACAGGCAGTCTGTGTAAATTATTTAATTAATGAAAGCAGCGAAGAGAAGCAATGCCTCAAGACATGGCATAATACTGTGATAGGTCAACAGGTTTCATATCACAGTCAGTTGCTATTTTCAAAGCAACTTTGGTGTTCAAAGTATTTAAGCAACAGTACATTGACACAAAGTGACCGCTTTTCAAGCTAGATAGCCGTGTCCTGATTGTACATATACATAAGTCTACTGGAGATGAAGATGGAAGTGTTAAACAGTCAAAACTAGACATTTACATACAGCCATGTCTATCTTTAAAAAAAAATCTAAATTTAAATCAGAAATCTTAACATAACCCTAACACCTTAAATCACATGCTGTACATGAAAACATCTGGTCCTCACTTGATTTTAGGACAGCCGATCTTTTAGTTATGGGGTGCTTCACAGTAAAATCACTCAACAGGTCAGAATAAGAATTTAATCTCTTTCTTTTTGTCTCAGGTTCAAGAGATATACTGTATATAGGGTGGCTGCCTAAGGGATATAGGCATAAAAAACTCTGCTGAGAAACAATTTTTGGGAAAAATGTCATTGAGGCCAGGGTATAAAACCTCATTTCATGTCACTGTATGTCTGATACGGTGGGCGTGCTATAAAAACACATCTATCACTGTGGAAATCACAGGCAGAGCATACCATGAGGGGAATCAATCTTTCCCCAAAGATCTCCATGCTCAGATTTTCCTCCATATAAAGTGCTGTCAGCACTGAAAGCAGGAGACAAGAAATATGGATCTGACTATATTTCTTGTGTAAAGTCTTGAATGCAGAGTGAACTAAGAGTGAATAAAGCAGTCCTTTTGGCTCACTGAAGGACTGCTTATATATGTATATATAAATTCCCCTCTCACCCCTGCGGCCAGTCTTTATCCTTCAAGCTTGGGTCCTCTACCAGAGGCCTGGGAGCTTGAGGGTCCTGCACAGTTTTTTTTGCAATTCCTAGAGCTACGATCTTCTGGACAGAGATCTCCGATGTTATTCCTGGGATCTGCTGGAGCCGCTCGCCTAGCTGGGGAGTCACTGCAACTAGCGCTCCGATTACCACTGGGACCATTGCTACCTTTACTCTTCACATCTTCTCAAGTTCTTCTCTGAGCCCTTGGTATTTCTCCAGCTTCTTGTGTTCCTTCTTCCTGATGTTGCTCTCATTTGGCATCGTTATCTTCCTCTGCTTGTTCACCACTACTATGTCCGGTTGGTTAGCCATCACCAGTTTCTGTCTGTACCTGAAAGTCCCACAGGATCTTAGCTTGGTCTTTCTCGACCACCCTAGGGACCATGTCCCATCTTGACTTCGGGACTTCAAAGCCACACTTGACTTAGATGTTCCTGTATACTATGCCAGCCACTTGGTTATGGCATTCAATGTTTCCCCAGCCTGCAAGCATCTTGCCATCTGCAGTTATGTACTGGATTGCATCTTTACACAGCCTGCACCTGGGATCTTGCCTTGTGTGGTAGACCCTGCCTCTATAGATCTTGTCCTCAGAGCTTGTTTCTGTGCTGCCATGATTAGTGCCTCTGCGCTTTCTTTCAGTCCAGAATTGTCCAGCCACTGGTAGGATTTCTAGACAAGGTGCTTCCTTGTCTTGATGTCAATGGCTTCTATCTCCTTCTTTGGCCAGCTTATTATCCCAGCATGGTATCTGATCACTGGCAGGGCACAGGTGTTGATTACCCTGATCTTGGGTTTTCCATTCAGCTCACTCCTCAGGACTTGCCTTACCCTCTGCAGGTATTTGGTGGTGGCAACTTTCCTGGTGGCCTCTTTGTGGTTCCCATTTGCCTGTGGGATTCCCAAGGCACTTGTGCCCCCACTTATGTATTGAGCCTTATGTCTTGTCATCCTAGCTGCTATGATGCCTGACAGGTAGGTACTTCAGAGGGTATTTCCTTGAAGTTTGATGCCAGGGACAATTTTAAAGAAGTATTTCATTAGGATAAGAAAGGATACAAGTTGTGCTTGAGAAAAGAAGTAGTATGAAAAACAACTAGCTGAATACTTCAAGCAATTCAGTTCAGTCCTCTAGAAGTAGAAATGGCACGGGGTTTGTGACTGTTTCACATTGTGTAGCCAAATAATCATTAGACTTAATAATTTAACTCAATAATTTGAATCTTTTAATATAAAACTATAGAAGGGACAAGGGCATTACCCACATATGCAACATATGCGAGGGCACCATTATTGGTGAGGAAGTCAGATAAAGGAACTGAACAGTGAGTCTGCAAAGTTTTCAAAATAAAAGACACTGCAGAGGAGTGAACAAATCTGCATTACAGAAACAAACCTGACACCCATCATTCTACCTAAGCCTGTGCTTGTAGCTCACCTTCTGCCTCTGGCCTCCACTTTCAACCCTTAAAAGCTAAAGACATAAAGAAATAAAAAATACCCAACCAAACACAGACTTCTCTGAAAACATAAAGCCCAGGGTTGAAATGTTTTATTTCTTAGCCTTGATGCCTTTGCTTTCTACCAACAGCAACCCCCTGAATACATAATCCCACTTATTTGACAGTCTAAAGAAAATCAGACAGCCTCTCAATACACTAAAGAGGTGAGAGCTGCGGGGCGCTCAATAGAGAGGCAATTCATTCATTATGGCCGTCACTTACAGCAGTAGGAGACTGGACAGAACAGGAGGCATACACGAGGGAACAACAGAGAAATAGTAAGTAATGGAAAGAGGGAGCGTTCAGAAAGGAGGGACAGCGGAAGACACTTCTTTATTTCAGGAGCTGTGTCTGTGTGTGCTGCTGTCCAAAAACTCTGGATTGTATATGTCCAAGAAAAACATGAGCAGCGATTAGCAGTCCCACCAGGTCAAAGCTTCACTTTACTGACGTTGTGTTTAGACAATCTTTGTTCCTTCGTACTGAGCTGTCTTTAATTTACAGGAATTTTCTCTTCATCACAGCTCAGTTCTGAGCCAAGAAGAGGATTCACACAGAGATTTGATGAGAAGGGAGTGGGTGTCACAGGACAGCTGTGTGGTAGGAAGGCTATGGATCGAAGGAGACAGTGTAAACTCAAATTTATAAAATAAACAAAGTCCAAAACCTAAACTAAACACTAAAAACTAAATTCTGGTAACCACAGAGCCAGGGACACGCAGCACTGGCGCATAACATGACAAAGGACAAGAAGAGACTCAGACAATTTCTAAACAAGGTACTAAGGCTAAGGGAAACAGGTGGGAGACACTAACACAAAGACGAGACTGAAGGAACAGTATAACATTGCTCTCATATAGTACATTTTTACATAGCGTGGCAGTCTGATGCACAGAGTGATTTTCTTAAAACAACACAAAACAGAGCAGTGCTGTTAGTGCAGATCGAGGGGCGACTCTTTCTAATCAAAATCTTGCTGTTTGTTGTCTTCCTCATGTCTTCTTCTAAAACATTTCATATGAGCTTTTGTTCCCAAGAGTTTAAGTACCTCATACCTCACGAATGTTATGCATTTGGTACCTTAAACATTAATGACTGCAAAACATGAAAAAAACAAGCTGATTCATGCAGTTGTCCTGTGTTTCCTGTAAGCCGATGCATGCATTCTTCCTCTAACAAGTGACAGACCAACCACTGAAATCAGTGCGCAGCTGGATAACTGTCCACACAGCTGGCAGCGGTCAGATCATATTTCATCACTTATATTCACACTCAGTCTCTCTACTCTGGCTCTCAGCTGACTGCAGTATGTTGTAAGCAGAATTATTCAAATGTGCATGCGTCACTTTTTTCTTTTAGTTTACTTTGAAAAAAAGTAGAAAAGTCTTTATTCTATTATTAATATTTGTATTCATTATTTTTATTCATTGTTAAAGACATTCCTTGAACCTGTTTCCACTAGAAATTGATGTCCTTGTGTATTAGTATCTACAGTAATCTGCCTTATTTCATTTAAAAACAGCCACCATTACTTTTCCAGAAAGCTAAAACATCAATGGGAACCTACTCGGTTAATTTCTCACTCTGTACTTTAATGTTGGCTCTCTGTAGTTTAGAATGATCTTTATGTGTATTATACTGGGCCTTTGTCCAGTGCCTCAGTTCACCAGAACCGTCTCTGTTGACGCCAACCTCCCTTTAAGCCACCTTTCTTTTGATTGGATGCCCCTCGCTAACAGAATGTGCATGAAGCTTCTGTGCTCACAGCCTGAGCTGTTCAACTGATGTGAACATAACAGGGATATCTGCTCTCACTGACATCATATAAAGCAAATATTACAACAAAAAGTCTAAAACAGGGTGTTTTTACTTGAAGCCTCAGGCTTCTGGCTTACGGGGATATGCTAACCTCATTATTTGAAACTTTGGCCATGTTTAACACGAGAGTGTCCATCAATGTAAGCAGTTTAAAGAGGAAATGCATATTAGGTCCACCTTAAGTTCTTAGAATGAGGCCTTTTTGATGTTTAAATCTACAGTCACTGTATCAAAAAAGTTGAAAAGTACACTTGGACCTTAGATGTGTATTCAGGATACATGCCAACCCAGTCTTAGTGCCTGGATCATTAATGTGTTTGAGGATTGGCTGCTTTACTGTTTGGAAAGTAATGAAATCCGAATGCAACTGCGCTGCCGTTTTGTCACACTCTGTTAAGAAATTATCTTTTCCAGCAGAGTTTTTCCGCGTAGGAAGCAAGAAAGAAAAATATCTGCTTAAGTAAAAAGTGTGACCTGCTGACAGAAATGAAGGCAGGCAGCAAAGATGGTACAGTGGTGAGAGGAGGGCGAGCTGACTGATAGGTCCTGAAATGGAGGGATATGAGGAGGGTGTCTCGGAGACAAAGTCCCCGAGGCCTGTGAGAGGCAGATAGCTGCCTCCTCCTCCTCTTCTTTGCGGCCTTGTCCCTCCATCTCTGTCTGGAGGAATGCAAATTCCTGTTATCTCTTTCGGGCTAGCAGCGCCTCTGCCCATCCGTTCCTCCTCACCATCATCCAGAACGTCTCTAAAGCTCGCTGAACTTTCCCCAGCGATCGAGGATCAAGTGGGGACACGAGACAGTGACGAGAATGAAGATAAGAGACACAACAGATTATTTCTTTATTATTCCGCCGACAGTTAAACGCTGCACAACATCTCTGAAATAGTTGAGTAAGTGCAGGGCTTTAGTCTTTGATGTGATAATAGACGGTTGGGGTGTTGCGGTTTCGCCATCAAGACTCAAGTGGAAAATTGCTTTGCACACTCTGGCAAACACGTCTGCTGCGTCATGTGTCTCGCCCCAGATACACATCCTCTGATACTCCAACCTCTTTATCCACGTCTATCAGGGTGCGCTGGGCCAGTCGGCAGAACGACTCCTGTCTCCCGTCCAAACCCACTGGTCTGGTTTCTCCTCCAGTTAAGTCTGGTGTGCAGAGTGTTGGGAGTGGTTTGTTGTTTTATCCCCTACTCTAGCAGACTATCCCACGGAGGTAAGAGCTGTAAATGTCTTGTATCAGGCTGCCTGCTTGGCTGGAAGATTGTTGTTGGTGGTTTTGTACTGTGGTTTGTGCCAGACAAGGTTTTTAAACCCTGAATCTCCCTGATTTAGTTTTCAAGAAGCATCTTTTGCAGAAATAACTCATTGTTTGGTCCCTTTTCTGTATTTAGGGGGGAGATCTCTTTGTACAGTAGCCACACCACACCCACAGGTTCACCAAGTACTAGAAACACATTCAGACATGAACACATGTATGCACACAGACTGTGGTTTTCTTCCCCATTTCATAAATGCCTCTGTACTCCAGACTCATTTCATAAATCTCACCACATTCCCTGCTAAACCCCACAGCAATAAAAATCTGTCTGTGTACAGTATAATATACCAAGCACATGCAGTATATCCAATAATAACACTAATAAATACGACTGAGAACAGAGGGCAAAAGCAGTGTTCACTTACCACCGGTCGCCACTGTGATTTCACGCAGGTAATGTCCGTAAAAAGGAAAATCGAAGGACAGATTAACTCTCTGTGAAAAAACAAAAACAAAAAACAGACAGATGACCTCAGTCGGGACCATAGAGCTAAGACAGGATCCAAGAAAAAGCTGTTTTGATCTTAAAAAAACAAAGAGGATTTAGATCAGAAGGAAAATGTGAAAAACAAATACCAAAGTGCCCGGTGTGTTACATCTGCTCTACTTTACAGGGTAATCTTTATGAGAAGAAAGAAGTCCTACAAACTGAAAAAGACAAACACTGAACTCAAAGTTTTGCTGAAAAAAAATGTTTATGTCACAGCTGAAATATACCATGTGAAGCAATGACAGTACTTTCTTAAACACCCATGGAGAAATACTTATATACACTTTATCTCTGCATGTAACTATTCAGTGGCGGTCGTTTTTTACCTAGGAAACCAAGAAGTCTTGAGCCACCCCTTAGTTCATTATATTCTGCTTTCAAAGAGCCAGATCTTCTTCTGAATTTATAAAGTACAATGAGCAAAGGTTGTTTCACTAAAATACAAATGCTTCCCACTTCTTTAGTTGAATCTGTCAAAAAAAATGCCAAATATAATATACAGTTTGGCCCCTTGTGAATAAGGCAGTGGACAAAAGTAGGGTTTACTATTCTTCCATGTATGTTTGTATATGCTTCAATAAAACAGTGCAAGTATTCTCCATTTTCCTAGCAAAATATAGAGAAATGAGGATATGTGATTAGGAAACACTGTGCTGGAGTTGGTAGTAACATTTAGCAGAAATAGTCAATCCTGTCACTTCGTAGTGGAGGAAAGTCATGCTTTAAGTTTAACAGCTAACAATAGATTTCCTGTGTGCTTCATCCAGACTAATTAGCTATTTCTTTTCACACTAACTCACCATACTAAGATCTTCTAAATGGTAAAATTTGACCAGCCAAAAATCATCAACATCACTGTTACCAATGTATGTTTCATGCTAACGTTAGCATTTAGCTCAAAGCATTATCCAGCGTACCCTCATAGAGCTGCTAGCATGGCTGTAGATTCTTGAGGTCTACCATTTCTCACGGGAAATATTTAATCCTTTACACAGAGATGGGCTCATATTGTATTTATAAATATTTTCAAATGAATGGAGACATAATAAAATTATCTTTAAGAGACTACAGGGTAGCCAAAAATGTATCCTATAAATTATAGTTTACATTCATTGTTTTATCCCTCGGGTTAAATTCCAGACACTGCCAGTAACTGTTACGGAGATGGACAGTCCACAGTGAACATGCTGATATTATGCATGGTCCTAGAGATTGTGCCAAAGGGAGTAATCCTGTGGCAAACCACGACGAATCTCGCAGACCATAGAGACAATCCAGAGCTTAACTTTTCTGCACTCCGGTGATGAAGCTAACCTCTGTGACTGCATTTTGTTTTACAACTTTATTAGCCAATTTCTTTGAGTAATAGCTGGCAGCCGGCACAGTTTGGAAGGAAGATCTCTGAGTATATGCAGGACTTTAACTGTCTTCATTATAAAGTCTATTTGTTTAAAACATTAGTCTGCTGAGGTTGTGCCGCAGATCAGTTCAGCACAGATGGTTTTCACTGCTTCTTTCACGCCAATATGAAATCAAATTATTCAGCCGAGAATTCCAGCGTCTCCTTTTGACTCCAGATTCCTCAGTTGACCACTGAATTAGGAATTCACTTTGTAAAACAAAGTCAGAGAACCTTTCCTCAATGCTGTTTACAAGAACGCCTCGCTTCTTAGCCGGGATGTTCAGTGGCTAAAATGAATAGCTTGCCTCAGAGTGTATAGCTCAATCCATCACCACCCAGCTGAAGGTAAAGGAGCAGAATTCACAATGTGGGCCTCTATTCTGTATCCTTGCCAGCTATTGCTCACCCTGGGCAGTTTTTCTTTCTCTCTCTCTTTCTTTTACTGCAATTCTGCTTTGTTTCTCAGTCAGTCTGCTGCTGCCTTGTGTGACTCCATCAGTATGCAGCTTGCATGCATCACCTGCTTGTGCTGAGGTGGAGGGAGGGGAGCTTTCTAATTTTTTCACTGCAGGGATACTTTTAATGGTAAAAATGCAAGAAGAATTACTTGCTGTTTTTAGCCTTAAAAACAACCATAGTCCTTCCAGTGATTTGTGTGTAGTGATAAGAAAATAACTGTTTTCAGAGGGGTTATTGTCATGATCCTCCTCATTTACAGTGACAAATTGTACACTTTAAGTCAGCTTCATATGTTATGTCTGCTTCGTTGGATGTCCCAAATCTACAATCTGGTTCATTCTTAAAAAGGGTCAACTAAAGTGCATGGTGAATTATTTCTACTTCATAACATCTAAGCAAGTATCCCCTTCATGAATGGAAATACAGAGGGTTTATGACAAGGTTACAGTCAAGAACAGGAAGGACAGATTAGACTTTGGCAGAAAACATTTAAAAGAGTCTGCACAGTTTTGGAAAAAACTTATTTTGACAGATGAAACCAAGATTAGCTTGAACCAGAATGATAGGAAGAGAAAAGGATGAAGGAGAGAAACAGCTCAAAGGATAAATTATGGCATGGGCATGTATGGCTGCCAGTGGAACTGGGCCACTAGTGTTTATTGATGATGTGCCTGCTGATAGAAGTAGCAGGATGAATTGTGAAGTGTACAGGGCTATGCTCTCTGCTCAGACTCAGCCAAATGCTGCAAAGCTTTACGATGCAAATGGATAATGACCCAAAGCATACCGCAAAAGCAACCCAAGAGTTTCCAAAGCAAAGAAATGGGGCATTTTTCAATGTCCAAGTCAGTCACCTGATCTCAATCTAATAAAACATGCTTTTCAGTCATTAAATATAAAAATATACAAAAAAGGAACCACAAACTTCTGTTGTACAGAAATACAAAAGTTGTGCCTTTGTCCAACTAAACGCAGAAAGACTGTTAGTCTTATTATGTCCTAGCAATCTTTACTGTGTCAAATGTAAAATGTCTTAAAATTGGATAATAATTGTGGTTCCACAGTAACAAAGATATTGTAGTGAGCAGCAGTTGTAGATGGAGCAACAGGTCCATTTCTGGAAAAAACGCCAACATCTTTGAACCGAGCTAAAGCAGATCAAAGCACCTGTACACAGAATTCAACATAAGTAAGGTTCAGATGTAAACATATTTCCTTTAAAAATGCTCAGATTCATTTTCAGGATAACAAAATTATAGCTCATAACCATTTATCAGAGTGAAAAACACACATCTGATGGATAATTTTTGGTATTAAATGTCTTTATGCCAACATCTAGTAAATCTCCTCTCATGATGTGTGTTGACTTACCGCAGCTTGTCTGTGTGTGTTGGACAGAATGCCGTGGATCTTCACTTTGTCCTTGTCCATCTGGTCGATATTTACCCACAAGCCCTTGCTCATCGGATCTGAAGGGCCGTACGTTTTTGATGTGTAGTAGTTGTGATGTGTATCCTCCTGAAGAATGAAAGAGAAAATAAGATAATACATTGGGTGAGTCTGAAAGATTGTGAAGAGGAATGTAAATAAAGCTCAAAGGAAAGAGCAGCTCTCGTAGAGTCGATCTGTGAAGTTTGCGCCCTTATTATACTGTACAAAGTGTAGAGAATATAAACATTTAAAAATAGAGATTGTGCAGCTCATTGCAGTCTAATACACAATTACCACTAAATAAAAATAAAACACATGCATATGGAAATTCACTGAGATCCAGTATTTTTAATTTTGCAGCTAACCAAATTACCCACTAAATTAGATTATAACAGTCCCCGTCCTTTCCTTCAACCTCTTTCCTTTAAAGCGCTCAGCACATGTACTGCTTTTAATGTTTCCTAATAAAATTAAACAACAAAAAAATGCAATCAGCTCCTTTTTCTCTTAAAAAGCCTGCAAAGTCAGGGCTGCCTTTAATAACAGAGCCATCCATGAACTTTTACAAGGCCATACGAGACGGGCTTGTCTGCTTTTACTGTTTCCTGTGCAGAATTAAGAAGAATGTTTGTGTTGTCTGTTTCCCGCAGGGTCTAATGAGGTACCTTGCAGCTGTGTCTTTTTATTTGAAACACCGTTAAAGTTAATGTTTTGCTGGATGTACACTACGTGCGACTGTGATCTGACTAATAGGAGCTCACAGAGCTCTGCAGATGCTTTGATATATGGGCGGTAATATTCAGAGCTTGTCAAAAGGCCATGAGACAAACATTAATTAAAGCACAATCCTTCCCTGTTCAGTTCGTTTTGCTTCAAGGATTCATATTTCCCCTCAGAGAGTTATAATCTAATACCGCTATTCAATATTCAGCCTGCTATATAAGACAAGGGGAGATAATGTTTCAGGCCTGGCAAAGCCTCTGTGGGACTGATAAATATCTGAATCCCAAATGGAGTTCAGTCATGTAGGTGGTGCTACTTCTGATCAATGTGTACATTTAAACAAACACTGCCACAAGCCTTTCATCACAGATTAACGTGCAGACAGACCATGTCAGGGGAAAAGGCCCCTTCAGGCAGCCTTATTCAGCACATTACTCCCAGAATAGAAAACAAGTCTACTTGTAAAACACACAAATGCAGGGCTGTAAAGTTTCCTGCTAATCAGCACAGGATGATTTCTTGTCTCACGCAGAGAGAGCGAGGGAGATGTAGGCTCCTCAGAGGTGAGAGGGGCCAGCTGGAGTTCTTCAAGTAAAGGGGACGGTGGGCAGGGCGCCATCGTCCAGCTGGGTGTAGGTGGATGTGAAGCTGTGGGGGCTTCTCAAGAGAATAACAAACACAGTACAAGGAGCATTAAAAAAAAACAGAGTCACACACAAATAGTTTTGGTGGGAGGTTGAAAGAGGAAGGTCCCGTTTCTTTAAAACATCCACAAAAATGTCCAGCAAGTAAAGTGCAGTACTCAAAATCAGTGTGGGAAAATACAAACATGGTGAGAAATCTGCTCCCACTCTGGTCTCGGTTTTGGATGGCTTTTATGGGAAACTCGAACAGGTAGGCGCCAAGACAAAGAACAAATAACTCTACTCAATTAAATTTCAGTCCAAACGTGGGTCGAAAAATTGAGATTCAGTTAGGATTCTTTGAGTTTAGCCTTCATCTGTCTTCAAAACAGTAGACAGTGCTTATGGTTAAAGTGACACTGTGTAAAAGAAGATTGCAGCATTCCTTTTCTCCCAGTTCAAGTGTATAAACATAACTAGGGTGGCTGCTACAGGACAAACATCTTTTCGTCAACCAAGAGAGATCAAAAACATTAAGTTTAGACTGTACCCAATAAATGCTGTGGCTGGCCAGCATGTTTCTACTAATGTCTGAACCAGATCCAGATCTGCCCCAAAGTTTTTCACTCTCTGTGGATGGCTGTCAGTCCAGCTATCAATGCTTATTTATTCTGGAAGAAGCGGTAAAACTTTGTGAAATGAGTCTGATACAGGTCAGTGAGCCAGAGAAGCTCACTTTTGACCAATACCAGCGATACTGAAGTGGATTGTTTAGGATATCCAGAACTGTTGGTACGCACTGCAGTTTCTGCTGCTGTTAGCTACTGTTAGCCTCATTTAGCTACTGTTAGCCTCATTTAGCTGTTAGTTAGTGAAACACTCTTTGAAATGAACATCTGATGGACTCTCCGTGACTCAATCAGATGTGAAAATATGGTGTGAAAATGTAATCAAACTGTTTATCAGAGGGAAATGAAAGATTTTTTAGCATACTAGAACCCAACATTAGCTGGCATAATGTTAGCTTAAAACCAGCTAATGTTGTTGTTTAGCTGGCTCTTGTCAGCTGTGTGGAGGGTTGCAGGACAATAAATAATTGTGACAATATTGGGAATAATTGAGCATGTATGTACATGTTCTCGTTTGTTTAAGTGCCTGACTTGAATTCAGCAAATGAGGCTTGAGGTGAAAAGGAAGAGGATGACATCTGTACTGTATATTCTATGTATTTATTATCTCACTCCTATTGCCTGTTTATACCCTGTCCTTATCTTCAATGTCATGCTGCTCTGTTGTATCTTAATTGCCCCTTGGGGATAAATAAAGTCTTTCTGATTCTGATCTTATTAAGATGCCTGTGGCATTGTCTTTTTCCTTTGCGTTTTTGCTTTTTTGGTTAAGGGGACCACTTCCTGCTATACCTTTAAAGTTTAAAGGAATCTAAAATCAGAAGTAGCCAAATCTCTTCTTACTGCCATTCCTTTCCCTTTAAGAAACTTGTGTGTGATAGTCGCTCCTTTGTTGTGGAAAGTTTGCAATGAGTGGGTGGGAGAAGTAGCTTCAGCCGCGGTGAAGCACATGCTGACAGCCAGGATTAAGTGACTGTAATCAACCATATAGTGTCTGGATATGCCTCAGCATAACAGCTATCCAACCGTTCTTTATCGTCTTCCTCTTCCTGTTCTCGTCATGCAGAGTAAAGGTTGCCAGTGAGCCAAGTCAAAGTAAAGATAGCACCAAAAGTTAAATTCAAACTCTGAACAAGAATTAGCATCTCATTCAACATTCTGACATGACAAGCTACTCCATTTGAAGCCTGTAAGTGATATAGAAATGAGGCTTCGTTTCATGGTCTCATTTGTGTATGCATATACACTTACATGTTTAAAAATTGGGCTAAAATGCGGCTTTTTCTTGACTGGACTTGAACAGAAACGTGTGTATTGTCGAGCCATTAGATGATGAGGGCTGGCACTGCGATTGGCAGACCTGCTGGGATTGAGGCTGAGCGTGACTTCATCGCCCACTGGATCTCACACTATGCTTGATTTAAAGGGGAAAAAAACGCTTTAAATCCATCCTAAACACTTTGCCCTTTGGTCTACCCCACTATACAAACAGCCAAATTCATACAATATTCACATATATAACAAAATAAAAAACATCATGAAAGCTGCCTGTGTGGCATTAAGTCATGGTGACATTTTGACAAGTCTAAACCTAGAGAAATCCCTTTAAAGGTAAAGTAACTGCAAAGTCACTTTCATATGCACGATTGCATTTTGAAACGCACACCAGGACATAAAGACAGCTGACGTCTTTCATAAAGCAAAACCCACAGAGGTTGTTAGACGTTCCACTCACCAGAAAGAAAAACAGTTGAAAAATCACTGGTGACAGTATAAATCCAAAAATGTGGAGCAGAATATTTTTAATATATTATTAGAAGCTACATGGAAGAGATACACATCTCTGTTTTCAGCTGAAACTGCAGTGTCCCTGAGCTGACCTCTGTAGTTCAGCTTATTGCACAGTTGAACTCATGAACACCTAGTGCATCATATTTGAGATTTTTTTTTTTTTTTATAGTAATAGTATGAGGAATACCTCGTCTCCTTGATATCATAGAGAGACAAATACATATAGAAACTGGGTGATAGAGCAGTCTGATCTATAAGCTTTTGGCTCTCAGGGGTCTGATTAAACTTTCCCCATGTTTAACATTCACTATAGGTACCTGGTAAAGTGTTCATCAATAGAATTACCCAATCAGCCAATCACATAACAGCTTAGGGACTAGTAAAGCACTATACAAATACAGGCCATTTATGGAATGGTTGTTGGTGTCAGATGGGCTCATCTGAGTATTTTCCAAACTGTTGATTTGCTGGGATTTTCCCACAAAACCATGTAAGAGGATAATTACCAGCTTGCAAAGGAAAGCAGAAGAGCATATCTGAATGTATCAAACCTGGAAGCAGATGGGCTACAGCAGCAGAAGACCACACCGGGTGCCACTCATGTTAGCTAAGAAACGGCAGGTGGTGGTATGGTAGGCGACTTCTTGGCACTCTTTCAGCCTCTTAGCACCACAGCTAGGTCCCTTAGCTATGGAAACACCACAGCCTGGTACCGGGCCGCAAGAGTTGAGGCTCAGCTGTGAAATGTATGGTTTTCAGGGTTTTTATCGGTTTTCAGCGTTATTTTGTTATCGTTTTTATCGTTAACTCGGTTTTCCTGGGTCTTTTCACGTGTGTTATGAATAAATCTTCTTTTTTTCGGTACCAGTACTAGTTTTATTTTGTTGTATTTATCCGCGACACCTTAAAGAAAATATTGTCGGGCAAAAACCCGTCCGTGGCGCAAAAAAGGTTGGGGACCGCTGCCATAGAGAACCTTTGGAATGTGGTGGAATAGGAGGTTCAGTGGTTATGTGTGTATTATTAGTGTAAAGTCAAATGTCAGTTGTATGTTCATACACAGTGGAGATAAGTTCAAACTGACACCCACAGAGTTACAGATGTGGATCAGTTGCCCTGAAAAGCTCAAGCAGGAGGAGGTGAATGTGAAAGCTGAAAACATGTCTCTTAGATCTAGTATTTCATCTTTTCTTCATACAGTGATAGACTACAAATAGATGGAGATGGAGAAATACTGTAATTGCTGTTGATAATGGATCACTTTGTGGCTCTCGAGTACAAAAACAAACTGCTGTAAAGATTCAGAGTACAAAACCCATCC